ACCTCGTCAAAGAGACTAGGCTACATGAAGTCTTCTGTGACATCCTACTGAGTCGAGTCTTTGCATAGAGTAGAGTCGAGTCGAGTTGATTTGAGTTGAACCAAAACCCGGTTGGGGTAGAATGGGATTATTAGAGGACTTACTTGAATTTTGAGTGAGAGAAAAAGATTAAAGCATATAGGTGAGGAGTGATTTGCATTAAAAGATTGAGCTTGGGTATTAAGTTGTAGCCTGTTAACAATTGAGGTACCATTTAAAACTTCTACACACAAATCCTTTGATTTTGATGGCCTACCCATAATACCCATTTCACTTTTCCATTTTCATGTTTATCTTCATCTTCTTCCTTTCCTCTTCCACCTTACTTTCAATATTCATGGTAGTTAAGCCTTAACTTTAACTTCTCTTTTATCCAAGTAAGTAAACCTTCTTGAAGTTCATAATTGAATCATTTGGTGCTATTATTTTAGAATTCATAAGAATTCTTATTTATAGGTTATTTATAGGTGAAGGGAGTTCTAAGAGCTGGTAGAGAAAAGAAGCTAAGGAGGACTCAAAGCTTTTGGAGTAAGGTTTTGATATCCTTGTTATTTTTATTTTTCTTTGCATGAGGGAATTGTGTGGTGTTGTTGCTATTGAGACCAATCTTGCTTTCATGTTCGAGTGGAGGATGGTAACTGGTTGAAGAAAACAGGGAAAAACGGGGAGGTATTGAATAAATGAAAGTAAAGAGTAGAGTTTTATGTTTGAAACAGGTTTTGCTTGGAAATTTTTACCAGTAAGGCTTCATTTGATTTTGACCCCATTTATTGATGGAATTAGGAAGTGTCATAGAAGAGTTATTTGGTTCCTCTATGTGTTTAGCTTTTAACATGGCGTTTTTTGAATCATTCCAAATTGGAGTTGTATGCTTTACATGGGTTTTTGAATCATCCAAATTGGAGTTGTATATGGAGAGATATGACCAAAAGAGTACAGATAGTGCAGGCTGGAAGCGCGCGGGCGAATTGCATGATGAGTTCGCGTTGCCTTCTCGCGCTAGCGAATTTGACCTACGCGCTCGCGACTTTCACCTGAAACTCTCTGACTCTTATTTAGCACATCTCGCGCTCGCGACTTTCAAGTACGCTGTCGCGACTTGTGCTCGCAAACTCTCTGACTCTCATTTGGCACATCTCGCGCTCGAGACTGTGAAGTGCGCGCTCGCGTACTTGGCCTGCAAGCGCTCGCGACCTTCATCGCGCGCTCGCGAATTTAGCCTGAGAACTTACTGTCTCTCATTTGGCACTTCTCGCGCCGGCGACTTTCAAGTCGCGCTCGCGACTTGTGCCCGATAACTCACTGTCTCTTCATTTGCATTCTACGCGCTCGCGACTTGTGGTTTTCATTGCCACTTTTGGATTTCTTTTCAATGCAATTGTATTTCCTTCGCTTCACCTTATATGCTCCAATCATTTTTAACATCAAATACAACATTAGAACATGTGATCAAAAAACAACATTCAAGGATGCAAATGATGTGAAATCAAATAACATTATGATGCCAAATGAAGTTATGGAACTATTAATTGTGATGTGTGTTTAATATTTATTGCATACCAACATTTATGCTCCATGAAGGTTAATGTTAGAAACCATGTAGGATAAGTCTTAATGTCGGCGACATAGGATAGCAGATCTGCACCTCATACAGTTGGTTTACTCCGGCATACAGGGCCGTTGAGTGGGATATGATTAATAATGGCCATAGCAGCCAAGCATACAGTATTCATCCAGTTTCATACAGTTTCTTATCACTTCGCGTTTCACTATAACCTTATGGAAGCCAACAGATATCTTGACATAACATTTCATTGAATTTATACAGTATTCATAAACAGTACAAAAGATTAATCAAATGTTCATAATGTGTGAGCCTTATATGCTGCCATATATGTTTACATGGTTGGTTCTTTCATAATTAATGTGTGATTACATGTTTATTTATTTATTTCTTATTAAGTTGAGATATCCACTAAGCTTTATTTGCTCAGCGAGTTACCTGTTTTAACTCGTAGGTTCTAGGTCTGGACCGTAGAGAATCATCTTTACAACTGCTATAGTTCATCGTTTGAAGACCCAGTCTTCAGGGTAGCTACTCATTTTGATATTTTGGTTCTGACTATACTTATCACAGCATGTACAGGGCACTTAGTTGGGCCCATTTCATTTTGGAAACTAGTATCATGTCTTGTAAATAGTAAGTACATAGCTGTATCTAACTAATGTCAAAAGCAACAGCATCACATCATATGTAGCCTACAGGATGATATCAGCATGACAGAACATAGGTTCAACCAGATTGTAGCATCTCGGCTTGGTTCATTCGGGTTAACAGGTGGACCGGGAAGGGACGTTACATATCACCTTTAGAGTACCACAGACCCAGATTAGAAGTTCCACAAAGATATCTTAAAATTCTTTTTACAACAATTAAATGAGATTCCTTGGGACACGATTGAAATCTAGCGCATAGACAAACACTAAAGTGTATGTCTGGTCTGCTTGCCGTTAGATATAGTAAAGAACCAATCATACTTCTAAACGTCACAATCTCACTGTAATTTTCATTCATCTCCACTCTTCATGTACAACATCTCTTCCTTAAATTCAAAACAAAGTCAAGTAGCTATCACTTCTTTGCCTCACTTCGACTTCGCTTCCTTAGGATCGATCTGATGAATCTATAGCTTTACACCAACCAAGGAAAAGGACCCGCATGCATTCAATATTCAATACAGTAATAATACAGTCGATTTTTGTTTTTTTGTGTCTCTGAGATCCTAATGCCTGCTTTTTTCCCACACTTGCAATACATATTCACATACCTTTCTTCACATGCTCCATCGGCTGCGCTTGAAGAAGACATGTACGCTGTCGCTTGTTACCTACAAATGAAATGGAGATGAGTTTGTTTTTTTCCTTTCTTCCTTTCTCTGCGTTTTTGTGAGAATGAAATTTCGTCAAACCTTGTTGATAGTAATAGGAGCTTCAGTAAGGGCATTCTTTGTCATTACAGAATGTCTGCCTTTGTTTTGTACTGATTTTAACTGATTTAACGGAAAAAAAAACCAACTTTTCGGACAGAAGGATCTTTTAATTTAGACGGAGTTTAAACCTGAGGGAACTAGCTAGATATTTGGAGTTAAACCTGAGGGACTAGCTAGATATTTGCACAAAACTTGGGATTAGTTGGTTAATTATGTAAAATCTGAGGGACTAAATAATAATTTCCCATAATCTTATCATCAAGCACTTGTCATTGTCAACTACACTCGCTAATCAACAACAACTATCAAAATTCTATCGTTTTTATGTACATTTTTCATATTTAATAATAAATTTTTAAAATATGCAAATTGTGTTATAAATTAAATTTTTTTACCTTTTTAATTAATTTTTATATTGTAAAAAATAAAATAAATTATTTAGAAAATGTTTTATAAAAATATTTTTTCAACAAAAGGTTTAACCTTCAATTTCACCACGAATTTTTCGAGTAGTTGCAAGTTCACTCTAAATTAATCTTTGTAATCTAGATACTTTGAACTTATCAATTTAGTTGTAATTACACCCTAATTTGAATTAACATCAAACATATTATTTTTACATCTTAAAATTAGTTTTAAATTGATTTTTTTATTATTATATGAATACTTGGGTATGATTTTATTATTTATTGTTTGAATATTTAGGTATTAAGTCTTTTTTTTATATTATTAATTACAATTTCAGTTTATTTTTAAAGTGTAATTGCAATAAATCGATAAATTCAGGGTATTGTAATTCACTTTTAGGATGCAATTGCATTCTAAAAAGCAAATTAATGTATAATTGCAATTAAATTGATAAGTTCAGAGTGTTCAGATACTAAAATCGATTTAGAGTAAAATTACAACAATTCGAAAATTTCGGGTCAAAAAATAAATATAACCTAAATATCTCCAATAATTGTCTTCCTAGTTCGCCCTATAATCTAAATAAGAATATGCATTAGTTGCGTTGGGCCGAAGAATCATCTTACAATCGAACTTGGGCCTAGGACCCAACAATTGGACCACGGTCAACAGAACCATATGACCGGAGCAAACTGCCCTTGATCAGATTTTGTTTACTTGCAATTTATTCTTCTCATAAAAATTAATTTCAAAATTCTTATCCATAATGCACCTCTTTTTTTTTTTCAACACGTAGGAGTATATTAAGCTTTTAAAAAATAATATGAGACCAAATTGCCCCAACACTGTCAGCATTCAAAAACAATCCCGCTTTATTAGTAAGCGCGTGCAAAATTCTCAACCACAGAGGATTCCCACCGCGTAAGAGGCTAAACAATCTGCCCTTATTGGATTGAGAAAAGTAAAGTAGGATCGCTCTTGAATGTGAAATACAACCGGTGCCATTCTTACTTTTAAAAATTAGTCTAAAATTTTTTTATAGTTTATTTTCAATAGATTAATTTTTTTTTTTTACTATTAAGTACTTTATAAAACAACGAAAATATATTTTTTTTAAAAAAGTACATGGACGGATTAATTATATTTTTTAAACTATAGGGATCATATTGTAATTTTTTGATATAATATTTTAGTATCTCTTTTCTGACTCTTTTATTTTCTTATTAACTTAACAGAGAATATATAAAAAAATAAATAGAAAAACCTAATAATATAACGGAAACAAAAAATGGAGACAAATTGTTATATTTCAAATAAAATAGACATGAATTAATTATATTTCGTAAATCATAGGGATCGTAATATACTTCTTTCAACCGGATTTAGTTATAAAAAACCTTTTATTTAAAATAAGATAGATTATTACTATTACCAAAAGAATAATAATTGTCCTCGTTCAAAAAAATAAAAAGGCCTTTTAGGCAAATGTATAATTATGAAATTTAATGAAAAATTAATAATAATAATAATACTGCAAAGAAACGTCTACTACCGTATGTGAACGGGTCCACAAAACCAACCAAACCTTTCCCAACTTTCACCTCCTACCTTTCTTCCTCCTTCCAAAACCTTCTTCAACACACAACTCTCTTTTACAGACACACACCAGCACAAATTCTCTCTCTCTCCAGACTCTTTTTCCCGTCCTTTATCGATCATCGACAAATCCTAGCCGTCCATATTCAGGTTCTGTTTTCTTTTTTTTATTAATTTCTCATATTCTTAGATCAGATCCGATCCATGTTCTTATCAGTCGCTGAATAATTTTTTTAAAAAAATTTGTATTTATTTCTTTTATTTGATAATTGTAAGAACTGTTTTTTTTTTTTTTTAAAAAAATTTTACGAATAATAATGGAGCAAGAATCTCAAAACGCACCATTTTATTGCGTTAACAACTGCGGTTTCTTTGGAAATGCCAAAACTAATAACCTCTGCTCCAAGTGCTACAAAAAATTCCTTTTAAAACAACCACAACAAACTCAAATCGAATCAACAATTGCTCCTGTCGCTGGCGGAGAACAGACAGGTGCCAATTCATCGGAGAATCGACCTCCGGCGGCGGCCAACAGGTGCAGCTTCTGTAGGAAACGTGTAGGGTTGACGGGATTCAATTGCCGGTGCGGGCAGACGTTTTGTTCGCTGCACCGTTACTCGGACAAGCATAACTGCGTTTTCGACTACAAGAGTGCCGGACAAGACGCCATTGCTAAAGCTAATCCTATTGTGAAGGCGGAGAAGATGGATAAGATATAATAATGGAGGCTGCGTTTACAAGTATGTAATTAAATATTAATTTGATCTGTTTCTTTCTGCACGGTACAAATATCTCTATTTCGTGCTAAAATTATATTTGGAGATTTAATATATGCAATTATGTTCTTTGCATTATAATTGCAATTATAATTATAAAAACAAAGTGAAATAGTCTTAGGGTATATGAGATTAAGAATCGATATATTTAATTTAAATTTTTTTTTAGTATATTAAAATAATTTAAGAGAGAGTTAGTATAAATAGAACAAATTCATCGTCTATCTCAAAGATTTCAAAAATTTTTTAAAATCTAATTGTATTAATCTTATACACCAAGCTGTAAAATAATATATGAATTATTGAATTAATTCACGTAAAAATTTAATATTTTGACAAAAATTAATTTTTATACTGTTAGAAATTTTTTAAAATTAATCTGATTATTTTTTAGAATTCTTATGGTTGATTTCAATTAAATATTGATTTAATTAAATAAAAAAAAGAAAAAAATTTTAAAATAGTTGAAGAATTGAAGAAATAAATATTTTCTCCATGAGCTGCATGTGGGGGCCGTGCAGTGAGCCTATCTCGATAGTGCTGCCTCCTTGCGTGGGCCCAATAGCTGCCTCCTTGCGCGAGCTCCGAAAGCCGACTTATGTCTTGGCTGGCGGTGGCTGTTAATTTACGATTTTAAATAAATACTCTTGTGATTTTCCGGCGAGACCAGTCACCGTTCAGTTAAGATACAAGAAGCGTCTTTCGACTACATTGCGACTATTTTGGGGATACGTGATGGCCAGCGGGGCCTTTCAACTGCCAGCAGCAGTGATGTTTTAACAAAGAAGAAAATAATTTTGTAGAAAATGATGCATTTTACATTTTGCTCCCTCATTTTTTAATTTTTTAATTAGCTCACAAACGTTTTAATTTGTTCAATTAGGTCAGACATCAACTTTGTCATTGTAATTTCATCGAATCAATCAAAATTTATAAAAAAAAAACCTCACTAATTTCATAAAGAAATCCTTCAATTATTCTTTTAAAAACTAACACAATCCTAATCTAATATATCTCTTATTTTATAAATAGTTTACTTCATGAGAAATTACCTTCTTATCCTTATATTTTGATAAAATATACGATGTTGCATCGTATATTTTTTTAAAAAACTTATTTTATCAAATCATTTTCATATATTTTATAAAATAAATTATTTTAATTGTATCTTTTATTTTTCATTACATTGTTATATCGATCTATTATATTTTTGTTTTTTCATCAATATTTGTAATGACTTTATTGGTTAAAAAATTATTATTTTATTTCTTGTCAAAATTAACTAATTTGTCCCATATTCTTTGTAATCATTTATACTTTTTAATGAAAAAAGTGCAAAAATGGAAAAAGACATAATGATATAACATTGAAACGGAGGTAAAAGAAATCCTAAGATAAAATCATAACTTTTTCAATTTAAATTGTATAAGTTAATATGAATGAGATATAGAGTTGAGCTCTAATGAGCCCGAGCTTGACTCTAGTGAGTTTGAGCTTAGCGTGAGCTTTTGAGCGGTAACATTTTTCAAAATATTATCTTATCTAAATATATGATTTTGCCTCTATATTTTTTAAAATAAATTATTTTAATCTTTGTCTTTTATTTTCATTATATTGTTATATCATTTTATGAAATTTTTTATTTTCCCGTTAATATTTGTAATAATTTTATTGATTGAAAAAAAATTTTTTTTTTTCAAATTTAACTAATTTGTCCCGTATGTTTTATAATCATTCATACTTTTTAATGAAAAAAGAGCAAAAAATATCGGAAAATGATATATCATTATAACAGATGTAAAAGAAATCCTAAGATAATTTAAATTATATAAGTCAATATGAATGAATGAGATATAGAGTTGAGTTCTAGAGAGCTCAAACTTGGCATGAGCTTAATTGTGCTTTTGGTGATATTTAATTTAAACGAACAATTAAAAATAAGAAAAACTATGAAAGTTTGGTAAAATAAAAGTTTTAAAAAATTAAACAATGAAAATTTGATAAAAATAATTTTAAAAACTAATTTTTAAAATAATAAAAGTTTATTCTCATATTTTTCTGTTATTAAATTTTTTCATTATCATTTTAAATTTACTATAACACAATAAAGATATTTATTTTTAAAAATTCATAATATAATTTTTATTTCTTTAGAATTAAAAACTCATATTATTGAGGGTTATCCTTAATAACAAAATGTAAAATAGAGGACGAGACTTCCTCTACCCAGATACGAGCATCCAAGGAAAAAGAAGCCAACTTAGATAGCTCATGAGTGGCTTGATTACCTGATCTAATGCAATTAAAACTAATAGAATCTGAAAGCATAAAACAAAGCGACATAATTCTCTTCCCATAATCAGCCTCATGGAATTCAAATGAGTTCGTCCGCACCCCCTTGCAGCGAAGGCAGACGCATCAACATTGATTTTCACAAAACTTGGCGCTGGCGGACTCCGTGTAGCAGCGGAACAATCGGGCTTGTTGCTGGACTCACCCACATTAGCATCCTAGAAATCATGAAGACACGACAGACCAAGTCCCACGATTTGTTCCTCTGATAACGATTTATGTTGAAACGTCCGCACATTCCTTGCCCTCCATGTCGACCAAGCAATCATAAAAACAAATCTAACTGCTGATTTGCATAATTTCTAGCAAGCACATGTAACCAATCGACAAACTGAAAATTTGCGGCTTGACCTATATTTAAACACAGTGGAGACAGCAACCATGCATTTCGAGGTCGCATGCAGTCCTTCAACACATTAGAGATAGACTCAATTCCTAATCCACAGATGGAACAAATGGGGTCAAGAGAGATACCTTTACGCACAGGGCACTTGAAACAGGAAGATACTACTTACACACTTGGAAAATGAATTATAATTATTAAGTCTCGAGTATATATATATATATATATATATATAAGTACGATTAATCAGTATAACATTGAATGGGAAAAAATGGTTATGACAAATTACCATCTATTTTAATTGACTAACAAATAAAATAAGAAATTATTATTTATAAAAAATCTTTAATCAAATTGGTTATGTCTCTTACTTAAACCAAAATAAAAGACTAATATTTATTATTAATTAAATTAGGAATTTTGATATTAATTTATGTCGGATTAATATTTTAGTTTCCTAATATTAATTAGTAGACAATCTTATTACATAAATAATTAATTATTTTATATTAATTTAAGTTACTGAAAAATCTACATAACATTCAAATAAAACTATTAAAAAATAAAATGATAAATAATAAATGATAAATTGATAGCTATAACTAATCGTATGTTAACTAATTCTTATAATAAAACAATTCAATTAAAAAAATTAAAAAAAATTAATACTTATTATTTAAATTTATTTTTGTAGTTCCAATAGTAAAATATACTACTTATTAAAAATATCTTAATTAGAAATTATAATTATAACTCAACTATAAATCTTACAAAATTACCACTTTATCATATAATCAATATATATATATATATATACATATCATTTCTATAGAAAAAGATTACCATAAAATATTTTATTTTTCTTTGGCTATAAAATTTATTATTACTTTACATCAAAGACTTTTCACCTTATTTTATTACTTCTTGATCTTAGAGGTATTATTTTACCTAGGTTACTATTATTTTTATTTTTTCATCTCATTTTAATCATAAAGTTTTGTTTTGCATTCCATTTTAATAATTTTTATAAGATTCATTTTTTTTCATACATATTATAATACTTACAATAAGATATTAAATAAAAAATACTTAATGCTTGTCTTTTTTTTTTTTTCCCAATAACTTATTACCGATAACCATATTAAAAACTATAACGAGTACTAGTTGCACAGTAAGAAAGAATTCATAAAATAATTATAAATTTAATAAAGTAAAAATTTAATATAATGAGAAGTTTTATACTAATTAAAATTTTAAATTAATATCCTATTATAGAAGTTTTGTCATATTTTAATTAGAAATTATAATTGTATTATTGAAATTTTGTTCGATTTTAGTTAGAAATTATATATTGTATATTGCCACATATGTATAATTATTTTATCAATGCAAGTTTTATTTATTTTTTTATTGAGGATTTCTTTATTTTCATTATCAAGAGTACGTCGTCGTACTCGAGTTATTATTATCCATTTATTGATGTATTAATTTTAATTCATTATTATATATATTGCAATGTTATTTGTTAGCATTGTAAAAAAAAAAAATATTCATTATCAATTGTAATTAAATTTTGATATTCTATAAATTTTATTTTACGTTTGCATAAAATATTATAATTTATATTTATTTTATGAATTATTATGATCTTTTCATTTTTAATTTGTAAATATTTTTATTCAATTTTTATAGAAAGAGATATAAATTTAATACGAAGAAAATCATATGAGATATTTTATCTAATTATCAATCACTTTGTATAATTTTTCTTAATATTTTTAAATAGATAGTAATTATTTTTTTATTTACTTTAGAATAGATAAAAAAAAATTAATTGAAAGCTATTGTGTTTCAGTTTCTAGGTTAGATTTAGAAAAAAAAAAAAAATCGCAGTATATTCATGTACCGGCAAATAATAACAACAAAATTTTTCTAAAAAAACAAAAAAATAATAATAACAACAAAACTCTCTTATTCCCTCCCTCTTTCCGCTCTGTCAATCGCCTTTCATCTTTCCAGATCAAAAGATACACCTTCTACGTATTTCTACTCAGCTCTCTCCCTCTCTCATATCTTTCTTTCTATTCCGTTTTGTGGAGAAACGCCGTTGAAGTTTACGCGCGGTTACAGATTGTGAGTTCGTCCTCCTTTTTGATTTATTTTCAATTACTCTGATTTTTCAATTCATTTCTGATATCTGATTTCTACATCGTTTTTAATTCGGTGTCAGAGTATCTCAATCTCTTTCATGGAGTTACAAATTGTAAGAATTTTTGTTTACTTTTGAAGGATTGTGGAACCATTCTCCAGGTATTTCTTTTTTTTCTCCCCCAAATTGAATTCTCTTACTGGATTAAAGGTTATTTGTAATATGTGATTCATTAGGATTAACAGTAGATATTGTTTTTTTTGTTTAAAGTGCAATCTTTCTTAAATTGGTCTTTTTATCTTGGAAATAAGCTTATTTATCTTGGAAATAAGCTTCTACTAGGTGTCTTCTTAAGAGTGAGTGATAGTAGATGTCTTCTTATGAGTGGAAATGGGAATTTATTACTCATGCAGTAATGGCTAATGGCAATGGAAGAAATCTAGGACTACACTTGGCAAGTTATTACTAATACAGATTTATCCTTGCTTTGAAATTCTAACGTAGTTGATTAGATGTAGTTCTATTTCAGTATGGATCATAGCTATTGCTATTGACTTTCTAAATTTCGTAATTTCTTCAGGATATGTTGGCAGACTATGAATTACTAATATTTACTAAGAGGTCCTATTACAGAGGGGCTGTTACTATTTTTTTTTCTCTTCCTTTTTTTATTCAGACTTAATTATTATTGAAAAATTAATTGATTTTGTTTGCTTTGTACATAAATTTTGCAATGAATAATTGCTTCTTGATTATACTATTCACAATGAATTGATGGGCTTAGCAGATTGCAATTTTAATCATTAATTTTAATCTCCATGCTATATTGGTTTTGCTAACGGTTTTCATGGATATGAGTATGACGTTGAGTAACATATGCAATTCGTGTAAATTCTTGCTATGGTTGTTATAATTGTTCTGCAATTTAGAAATAGATATGGGAAAAAAGGTTTCATTTCCGGAACTTGATGATTAAGCAAGTGTATAGGTTCATTTACAGAAGATGAGGTTAAAATGGAGTTAGAGTGCATTTTTTACGAAATAGAAATCTGGTTGTTAGAGAATTGTTTAAAGTCAATTCCATGGCAAAAATTTATATGCTTTGTTGGTTTGGATATTAAAATCTGATTGTTGATATCATTTGCGTATTTACTATGATTAAATTGATTTTGAAAACCTGTAACTCTTCTATTTGGCGAAATGATTTGTTCACCTATTTTTCATGTGAATGTTTTGATTTTTGTCACTATATATTGGCTTCTTTTTTCCCCCACAGTTTGCTTTATTTTATAAGTAACTTAAATAAACACATTTTCAAAATAAAAGATTTCACCTGAAAAAAAAAAAGCTACACCCTGCATAATAAAGCATTGGCTTGCTTTCTAATTTGTGATAATTCAGAGGGTAATGAAAAACAGAGGCTACTTTATTTTCTTTATAGGAGGACAAAGCCGATAGGTAGGAGCTCCCTTTCTTTTTTAGGTTAACTGTTACTTTCAACTGATTATGGCTTAGTGTTTTTGTGTTAAACTTGCCGTTTTAGAAATTGAATTTGATCGACGGACATTCAATGAGTTGTGGTGACCATTTTGATGTGTTTAACACTTTCCTCTCTGTACCCCTCCAACCCAAAAAGGAAGGAGGGGGTGGAGTGGGGTTGGTGCTTTAAATTAGCTCAGATCTAGCATAATGTTGTTTCCTTTTAATAACTGGCTTTCTGAACTTGCTGACGTTATTTAGTTCCACAATTCTTATTTTTTGCATTTGTTTTGCTTGGTTTTCATAGGGTATTAGGTCCACAATGGATTACTTTCTTGACGGTGAGACTCCAGCTACCCTGCAGCTCCACAGATGGGGCCCCTCTGAGTTTCCACTGAACTTATCAGAGTTTCGTGAAGCTTTTATTTCTCCGACAAGGGAGCTTCTATTAATTCTGTCTTATCAATGTGAAGCTTTGCTGCTTCCTTTGGTTACTGGTGAATATTTCAGAGCCTTCATCTTTCCATATACTTTAATCCTTGTATGTTTAAATATTTTGTTATGATGTATTTTTGTTTGCATGTTCATTCGCTGCGTGTACCATAGAGTATATCTTGCTACTTTATGCTTGTGTACTGTGAATTGGATTTTGATTGTTGTGGTTGCAAAAACTTAGCATCCTTTTACCTTTTCTTCCATTCATTTTGGCAGGGGAGCCCATTGACAACATTTCAGAAATCTGCCACAATGAATGTGTAGAAAATGATCCTTTGACCACTTTCTGTTCCCGATCATCATTGGAATCTTCAACTCCTGCTCATGCATCAGCAGATGGTCTCGATAATGGTTTTTCTGTTGAGCATAAATTTTCAAGATCTAATAGTTACCCTTATGTTTGTGATGTGAACTCACTGGCTTGGGGTGTATGTGGGGATACCTATAATCTGCATGAAGATGTTTTGTTCAGAGAGTTTTTATTCGTGTGCAGTGGCTATGGTGTCACAGTGCATGCTTTTCGTGACCCTGGTAAAACTGCAATGAGCAGATCCTCATTGGAGGGTGATTATGGGCAGGGGAGGTGGGTGGAATGGGGCCCTTCCTCTACATCAGCTCAAAATATCAAATCTCAGGACTCTTGCAGCTTGTATTCTGGAGGCACTAGCTCTAATCCAGTTGTTAGCAAGAGCAATGGAGATAGAGAGTCTTTGCAGGATGTGTACAAAGAAAAAGGTGTTGCTTCAAAGAGGTGGCTGCATTCATTTTTCACTAAAGCTGAAACTATAAAATCTGATGGTAACATCTGGACTAGGTTTCCGGAGAAGCCATCATTTCCATGCTGTGCAAAGGTTGTTTCATTTAGCATTCTTGATAAGAATTTGCCAGTTCTTGACTTTCTTTCTCATGGAAACTCTGCGTCTAACATGGAAGAAAGTCAGCGTGAAACTGGTTTGGATCCAGTTAGTAGTATGATAGCTTCTGATAGTTTTGGTGCCAATTCATACAAATGTTCCAGAGTGTTTTCCAGCAATTCACATTGCCTAATTGGATTTGTTTTAACATTAACAGATTCAGATTCTCTTTTTGTCCATACTCCAAATGAGATTGAAAGAAGCAAGATAAATATTCTGCTTCTTGTGGCTAGGTTAGGTACTTTGGGAATCCAGTGGGTTTCCATGGTGAAGCTTGCAGAAAGTGTAAATGTAGACCCTATGACTGAGTGGACTGACTTTTGCTTTTCTGATGACCTTCTTGTTTGCCTAAAGGCTTCTGGTTCAATTAATTTTTATGCTGCAATGTCGGGCAAGTGTGTTGGGCATGTGGATGTTTTTCAAGCTTGTGGATTTAACCCTCGATCTAGCAGACAGCTGCAGCAAAAAGTGTCTGTAGTTGATACACAAATTAAATCTGTTGATGAAATTCATGAAAAGTTAACTTCTCAACATGGCGATTTATTTGGTAGAGGAATATTTAGAAAGTTGCTTGTTGCTGCCCATACTTCCTTGTTAGCTGTAGTTGATGAATATGGTATTATTTATGTTGTTTGTGCTGGTGACTATCTGCCAGATAATTACTATGCATATGAGAAGCTACTTCCGCATTTTCAACATTTTGGGCTTGGCATATTTGTTGGTTGGGAAGTTGGTGGTTCTGAAATAGGCCACCAGAGGGTATATCCTAATAAGTCATTCATGAGGAAAGGAGATGCACCATGTGCGGATTATAATGGCAGTAAGTCACTCTGGACGATCCAGCAAGGGAACATGCATGGCCTGGGTTCCCAGGGTGACTTTTGCTCAAATGTCTTTTCTGCTGCATCAGAATGTAAGTCTTGTGATCCTAAGGGACATTCACATCCGATGCGGAAAATTTTTCTTCCCCCAGAAAGATTCAGTGAGGACGATTGTATCTGTTTTTCACCTTTGGGAATCACTCGGCTTACCAAGAAGCACAATATTAAGAATCAAAGGACTGCTAATCTCATTCACTTAAATCGGCATATGGGTTTAGTGGTTCATGATGACAGATATTTGGATTCTGGGGGAAAAATGTTTTATTGTGGAGGGGACGAAGAAGCCTCTGTTGGAGAAGCAATTGGTTGCTCTTTTCAGGGATGTTTTTATTTAGTGAACAAAGCTGGCCTTTCAGTTGTTCTTCCCTCTATGTCTTTTTCATCTAATTTCCTTCCTGTTGAAACTATTGGATATCGGCAGCGCAGTTTCTATACAGACACTGTTTCTCCAGCAAGAAGAACTCTTCAAATAATGGAATCAAAAGAGCTCTTCTCAGCTTGGAAGGTTGAAGTTTTGGATAGAGTTCTTATTTATGAAGGCCCTGAAGAGGCTGATCGTCTATGTTTGGAAAATGGTGAGGACATTATAGCTTTTCTAGCTTGCCGTAACATAGCATTCATTGCATATTAGTAAATACTTGGTTTTCATAATTCTATAATACATAGTTGCTGCAGTCTCTTGCAAAATTTGAACATTTAAAATTAATTCTGCTTTCCTTTCAAAGTTTGTTAATTGGTCTATATTTGTATAATGTTTAATTTTGTTATGTCAAATAATTCCTCTCAACTTTAACCAATAGGATATCTTGAAGCATTTAGTTTGGTAAGTTTTTTTCTTAGCAATGATAGCTGAAGGGAGATGTGTCTGTGTTGGTCTTGTGATCATATTCCTAATAACCTAAGAATATGTACTAGTAACTGGTGACTGTGGACTTCAAATGGATTAAGGTTTCAAAATTTTGAAATCTGGAAATGAAGGCTACGTTCTATATAAGCAAAGGAGTTTCCTGTTCAGACGAGAAGCAGTGGCTTTATTGAGGCATTCCCTTTAGCACCATGTGAGGCCGGGTGAGGTTGGAGGTTCTTGGGTCAAGAACCATATTGTATTCAATTATCCCTCCCACAAATTTGTGTAGATAGTCCTCTCTTTGAGAACATCCCAATCATTTTAGCATTGTGTTCTGAGGACCAATTTAGAGGAAAATAGATTATTCTCTACCTCTTCCCCTATGAGTTGCTTTCTACTACAACATCGGTTAAATATCCATCATTTGTTACAATGAGCCTTTGGTACTCTAATACAATTCCAATATATTAGGCTTTGAAATCTGCAACATTCATGTCTCCATGTCCTTCCTCTCCCACCTTCTCAATTGGGGTTTATTCTTCTCTTTCTTGTTTCAGTGTTCTTCATTTGATTTATTTCCGTTTGGCGCCAATCGAGACAAAAAATGATCTTGTCAATTTCAACTCTATCTTCCTTGGTTCCTTCTTTCTCATTTCTCTAAGTATCACTGGCTTCTATATTTACCATTCTACAGAAATATATATGAATTGCAATTTTACTAGTGCAAGGGAAGTGAGCAAATTAGATGTCGCACAGTAGTACAGCCTTGTAATTTTCTCTAGGCTTCAATTGAACCTGCTGCGATGTATGACATTGACGAGAACACTTAGATGGATGTATGGAAGTGTAAGAAATGGATCGAATGGTAAATGAATGCACATGTAGGATGGTGAGAGTGGCAGTCATTAAAGATAAGTCCTGAGAGAAACAGTGACTTGGTTTTGGCTTGCCTATCATTGACTAGCAACTGAGCTTGTCTGGCATGTCAAGCATATCAAAGTCATGATACTTGGGAAAGACAACTGATAGATTTTGGCAGGCTGAGGTAGTGAAGTGGGAGTTGCGGCCCCAGATCTCTCTTAAGATTTGACCTAAATGGAGAGAGACAAATTTGTTTTTATACAAATAAATTTCTCTGGTACAATTAATCTTATTTGCTGCTCTTACAGTTCTTTGCTCAAGCCAAAGAACTGGAAAACGTCAATTGTCTTGACTAGAGAAAATGTATGGTGACAGAAAATTTTTCATCTTGTTGTTTACAATAAATTTACTAGAAAAAAAGAGAGTTAACATGAAAACTTGATGATAAATGTGCTTACATTTTTTTACATTTCCCAAATGTAAGATTTGATTTTCATATTTGAGTAAAGGTGCCTTCCATTTTTTATATGCGACTGTGATGGCCATTGTAATTACTAGGTCATTACTTGATTTGGGGGAGCTTAAGGGTGCCTTCTGGCCATAATTGCATGGATTGTTTCATCAGTGTTATGAGTGTTAGACATGGTGGAAGAGCTTAAGACTATGATTATGAGGCTGGTAATTGAACTGCAACAGGTCCTAATAATAAGAACTGTACCAATTTCCATTTGACATTCTAAATTAATGAAAGATATTAAGCTGGTTTTCTATTGCACCAAGTCAATAAGTAATGGACATGCGTATTGGTAGTAATCTGCGTGCATGGTTGGATGTGGAATATTTTAATTGTGTATGACAGTATAAGCTTCTCAACTGTAGTTGGTTATTAGTCCTATAAGTTAAAGGTTTGATTTTTCACTCTTCTTTCCTTCCATTCCATGCATTTGCAGAACTTTGGGAGTATATTTTTTTATTTTATTTTTAATACTTTTTAATTGTCAGACTTGGAAGTGAAGTCACTTAGTTTGGCCTAGGTTTTATTGACCTTCTTTTCTGTTTTTGTATCAAGAGCATATGCAAGTGGTGTGTTTAGAAAAAAAAGAAAAAAGAACAAATTGATGAGAATACTAAGACAAATTTGTGGAAACCAATAATGGGGGGGAGATGGAAGGGTGTAAGGAATAAATGCATCCGCAGGAAGGTGGAAGCCAACTTTTGCTTTTTAAATTTTATCATAAAAATGCTTGGTCATTACCATTGATTTTCTGAATTTAAGTCTGAATATACTCATGAAACTTGTATTACTACCATGTCAGGCTGGGACATAAAAAATTCCAGGATACGTCGGCTACAAATGGCACTGGACTACCTGAAATTTGATGAAATAGAACAGTAAGATTATTGATTTCTATGTTTTTATTTTGATACTTAACATCCTTATTTTGTACTCCAATCCCACTGAACAATTAACATTCACAATTACACATAACTTAAGTTTGGGATCACATTGGACTCTTGTTGCACTTCTCTGCTTCACTCAATTTGCTTTGATCTTGTTGTTGTCATTGTTCCTCAGTTTCTCTTCCTTTGAACGATAAAGCATAGTTATTTGAAGCATGTGATTTGCAACAAATGTATGCTATCTTGGCAAACTACAGTTTGATGACTTCTACTTCCATTGCGAAGATTGCAATGCATTTGTTACTGCTTAACTTGAAACTCTCAAAATCTAGAATGGTCCTCCATAGCTCCATTTCTTATTAACATTAAGTTGGGTTTCATCCATTATAATTATGTTATCAGCGAACATCATACACCAACTGTTATCCTTTTCCAATTTCTTCATCAATTCATTTCTGGCCAAATTAAAAAGTCAAGATCTCAAGGTCAATCCTGTGTAATCTGACTATGATAGGAAATATTGAAATATTTTAGGTAAAGTGCATTGAACAATCTAAAGTATGCAGGATTTGCTAATAACAAAATATTCGTCTAATCTCCTTATGAACTTGGCTTGGCTTCATCCATTCACATAATATTCAATGCCTCAATGAGCACCGCATAATTGGGGGCAATGCCATGTCTGTCTGGAACATATTGTGGCTAATTGCTTCGTTAACTTTTGGCATTGACAGATCTCTAGAAATGCTTGCGAGTGTTAATTTGGCTGAAGAAGGCATCTTGAGATTGCTGTTTGCTTCTGTATATTTGATGTGTCATAAAAATGGAAGTGACAGTGAGGTTTCTGCTGCATCAAGGTAAAATATTTTAACAAGTTGCATTAATTTTCATAATTATGCCGAGTTTCTTGCCAGTTATAAAGTGGTAGAAAGCTATGCCACCTGACCTTGCTTAATGTGGTCTATTGCATGGTATGCTTGTCTATTTCACATTTGTACAAATTTTGGCACTTCTATGCTACGTATCTGGATCTTGATGTATGTGAATTTGATTTAAATTGTGAAATGATTGATTGATTATGTATTGTCTGTATATTTCTAGATTAAGTCTTCAGGTTTTTCTGATTTTTGGTTTTGTTTCTTTTTCTGAATTGATGGCTACACAGAAGAAATTCTATGTTTTTACCCACATTAAGTTGGTTTATCTTTGAAATCAAAATTTCCCTATGCTTTATGGTTCCTTAAACTGGCTGGTTAGCTTGAACTTGGAATGGGTTGGATTGAGCTTGCATCTTTTTAGTTGACTAGAACTATATGTACTGTAATCCATCTGAGTGACTTATTTACCAAAATAGCATTTCAACAAGTTCTGAGGTTCAGCTGTCACGACTGTTTAGGCCAAACTGTGTTTGTGTTAATGGCTTTTATAGATAGTATTTTTACATCTCTGTTCCCTTCCATTTTTTGATTGTTTATTGAGCAATAACATAAATTTTACTCATGAGTAGAGTCTCGAGTTATTAAGGGGTGTCAAAATGGATTCAGCACGAACTTGCCCGACAGGCGACACGATTAGGATAAAAAACAACACGACCCATTTAATGATCATGTCAAATATTTAAACACGAACATGACACGAAAATTAAGCAAGTGACATGAACACGACATGTATAACCCGTTTAATTAAATGGGTCACATATGAGTCAAAAAATTCAACCAAATTTAATTAAATGGGTCGTATACGGATCTGAAACACGACAGATATAACCCACTTAATATGTTTATATATTATATGAAATTATATTTTTATCCTTAAATAGACGGATTAGATGAGTCAACCTGAGGCGACCGTTTAAACTTGTGCAATATACGGGTCACCGTTTATGACACGAATTCATTTAGACTCTACCCTAATCCATTTAATTTTCATGTTAGGCGAATCGTGTTCTTGTGTCATGATCCTTTTTGACATCCTTAGAGGTATAGTTAATAATGATATTTCAGCTTAAGTGATTTTTCTGTTGGCTGTTGGATTAACTACTTATGATCATTTTTTCCTTTTTTTCAAATCCTTATTGCAGGATTCTTGCATTGGCCACTTGCTTCACAACCAAAATGATTCGAAATTTTGCTCTACTTCGGCAAAAAAATGGCACATTACAAAATTTTAGGAAGACCCAGTTGCCCTCTCTTCCACCAGTTTTACCAGAAAAGGTAAACAAAATGGAGGGCTCAAGAAGGCTTCATGATATGGCTCGCCTTTTGGAGATCATCCGGAATCTTCAGTATCGACTTAGAGCAAAAGTGAAAAAGCCTGGCCAGGGATTGGTATGCTATTGTGTGTGCTCAAAACACGCTTTAAAATTGCTAGCTTCTTATCCATTGCTTACCACATATTACCTTTTCTTGATGTATAGGCGGATGCTGGTGAGGCATTAAATTTCATGGATGCTGATTTTTCAGAGGATGAATGTCAAACTTCAGTTATTCCTGCTAATGCTGTATCAATGGAGACACTAAACCAACAAGAACTTTCAATTTCTGTGTCCATGGGCTCCAAGAATGAGAAGCTTGCGTTGATGTCCAAGGATGCCTTGGATTCTGATTCCCATTTGGATCAAGATGATTCTACCGCAGTGTCAGAATTTGTGACACAAGCTGGAAATTTGGGAAGGAAAGTATTTCCCTTGGAAAATCCTCAGGAGATGATTGCACGATGGAAGTTAGATAATATGGACCTTAAAACTGTGGTTAAAGATGCTCTTCTCTCTGGTCGTCTGCCTTTAGCAGTTCTTCAATTACATCTTCATCGTTCAAGAGACTTAGATACTGATGAGGAGCCTTCTGATACTTTTAAAGAAGTTCGTGATGTTGGAAGAGCCATTGCTTATGACCTATTTTTAAAGGTAGCTTATTTATTGTTTACATAAGTGATCGTAAAATAATGAATGTGTCTCCATTAAGCATGTATGATTAACAGGGTGAAACTGCGCATGCTATTGCAACATTGCAAAGGCTTGGAGAGGACATTGAAACCTGCCTCAAGCAGTTGCTATTTGGTACAGTGAGGAGATCCCTCCGGAATCAAGTTGCAGAAGAGGTGAGAAGATATGGTTACCTGGGACCATATGACTGGAAGATGTTGGAGATATTATCACTAATAGAGGTATTTCGTAATTCTCTGCTATATTTTTTTCTTTTGAGCTATGGTTTGATTTTGGATTTCATTCTCTGACGAGGCTTTTCTCTTGCTTTCTTCCTGGAAAGAGGCTGTATCCTAGCAGTAGTTTCTGGAAAACCTTTCTTGGTCGGCAGAAGGCATTGATGAAAGCCACATCAACTTCAAATTCAACCAGTGGAATTACGCTACAGTTATTATATACGCATCTATTTGGCAATCTTACCATTGACTGTGGTGAGATAGATGGAGTTGTTTTAGGCTCATGGACAAGCATCAACGAAAATACTCCTGACCCTGTGGTTGATGAAGATACTGCTCACGCTGGATACTGGAATGCTGCTGCAGTGTGGTCTAGTGTCTGGGATCAGAGAACTATTGATCGTGTAAGTGTCTTATTTTATTCTTTTATTCTTCTTTGATTTGTGGTGGGAATGCACCATGATGTTGTGAAGCCACAGTGAAGGAAAGAAAAATATCAGTCTGCGGTAAGATTCTCATGTCATGGATCTGAATTGCATCTTCTTTTGTGCCAATAAAGCTTTTTTCTCTATATTGAGTTGCTATAGCATGTGCCAACTATATGACATTTATGACATTTTTTTCTTTGAATGATCACTTGATGGATTCAAGAATCTTGGCATGAAGCTTGTCCTACTTAATTATTTCTTGCTATGCAGATAGTTATGGATCAACCGCTCCTTATGGGTGTTCATGTATTATGGGAATCTCAGCTGGAGTATCATTTATGCCATAATGACTGGGAGGAGGTTTTTAAACTTTTGGACCTTATTCCTACATCTGTTTTATCAGTTGGAAGCCTTCAAATCACTTTGGATGACTTAAAGCATTCACCAGCTGTTGGATGTAGCAGTGAACTTCCTGAGTACAGCAATTATATATGCCCTATTGAAGAAGTAGATGCAGTATGCATGGATGTTCCAGGAGTCAAAATATTCAGGTTTTCTGTAGATTCAATGTGCTCCATGTGGTTAAGGATACTGATGGAACAGGAGCTTGCGAAGAAATTTATTTTTTTAAAAGATTATTGGGAAGGCACTGCAGAAATTGTAGCTTTACTAGCTCGTTCAGGCTTCATAACTAGCAAATTTAATAAAATGTCATCAGAGGATCATTCTGTGAAGAGTTTGTCTGATCTGAGTGCATCAAGTGGTGGAAATTTTGATTTTGATACCACACAAGCTTTGCATAAATTAGTCGTGCATCATTGTGTGCAATATAACTTGCCAAACTTCTTGGAGCTATATCTTGACCATCACAAATTGGTGCTGGACAGTGATTCACTCTACTTTTTACAGGAAGCAACAGTAAGTTTCTCACATCCAATGAGTTACTGTTCTCTAAGTGGTATTCTTGATTGCATTACATATAAATAGCATTTCATTTGCACCTATCTGTATATGTGGTTTTGGGAAGTTTCTACTCTTGCTTTTTTGTTTCATTTTGTCTATCTTCTGAAGCTCTCTTTGATGAGTGAATTATTTACTAGAGATGGAATTATCTATATATTGAAAAATGTGGTGAGCTTCTGTGTGTATGCATGAGCATGTGATGGTTGCCTATATTTTTTAAGTGTAATTTGCAATTTAATTGACTTTTCTAGGAGTTTTGTTATTTTTTAAGTAATAGCATCATTTATCATTTGAACCTGCATGTTGAAAAGTTTATTCTGCAATGTATTGGCTTATAATGACTCATTTGTAATCATATTAGAATGTATTTTTCTGGAAAAATAATAAAAAAAGACCGTTTTCTCTTCTACTTTCGGAACTTATTCAGTAGACATATTTTACTTTAGAATGTAAATTTTTTTTCCAAGAACTAACATTATGCATCTTCCAGTAACAAACTGCGATTATGTATTTCAAAATGCAAATACTCTCCCCTTTGTCCCTCTCTCCTTTGTTCTGCCAAATTCTGTTGGACTGAATGGGGATATCTTTTCTTCTCCAGTGGAGGGTGTCATATCATATCTACCAAATTTGATATTAATTTCACCAGTGGTTGTTGAACTTAGAAGTTTATCATGTCAAAATTCTGGTTGAAATTCTACAAAAACCTTGTAATTATGAACTTGTCATAACACAATCAAAGTTGGTTACACTGAAATTATATTGAAACTCAATGATAAGTACAAGAGGCCATGGGCAATTTAGGCCTCCAAATCTTTCGTATGTTTTATTCTGTGGAAAAGAATCATTTTGGTTATGCTGATGTAATTAATATGAATAACCTAGCATACCCGTTCTGTTCTTTTTGTAGTCATCTGGCAAGATCTGGTTTGATACCATTTCTTTGACACCATCTTTTTCAACCAACAATGTGCTGGTTGGGTTGTTAAGTGACCTCAATCTTTGTAAGGATAAGTTCGATCCCAAGAAGTGCATTTGCTGTGAGGCCCAAACACTTCTACACACCTCCTGATTTCTACCAAAAAAAAAAAAAAAAAAAAAAAAGACCTCAATCTTTGTAAGGATAAGTTTCGATCCCAATGAAGTGCATTTGCTGTGAGAGGCCCCAAACACTCTACACACCTCCTGATTTCTACAAAAAAAAAAAAAAAAAAAAAAAAAAATGAAAAAATTGTGATACAATGTGGCTTATTGAACTGAAAAAAAAAAAAAAAAAAAAAAATGAAAAAAATTGTGATACAATGTGGCTTATTGACTGCAGTGAATAATTTAAGCATTCACTCGTGATTTATTTTGTTTTGTACATCTTTTCAGGGAGATTGCCAATGGGCAAAATGGTTGCTTCTATCTAGGATTAAGGGTCATGAATATGATGCATCATTTTGTAATGCTCGGTCTATAATGTCGCATGATAGCAACCTCAGTGTTCTGGAGATTGATGAAATAATTCGTACTGTTGATGATATTGCGGAAGGAGGGGGTGAAATGGCAGCTTTAGCAACTCTGATGTATGCCCCTAATCCAATTCAAAATTGCTTGAGTAGTGGCAGTGTGTTAAGGCATAGTCGCTCCACATCTCAGTGCACTTTGGAAAACCTTAGGCCAATTTTACAACGCTTTCCTACATTGTGGCGAACACTTGTAGCCGCAAGTTTTGGACAAGAGACTTCTAATTTCTTGGGCTCGAAAACAAACAATGGTTGGTTTGAACTTCATACTCTTTTGTCCTTCTGTGGGTTACGCATTAATCAGCCCTATAATGTTTAATTTTCTGTAGCATATTCTTCCATTTGCAATTTTTGATTTATTCATATTGAAATTCAGCCCTGTCAAACTACTTGTGTTGGCGTGACAATATCTTCTTCTCTTCTGCCCGTGATACTTCACTTCTACAAATGCTGCCATCTTGGTTTCCTAAAACTGTGCGGAGGTTGATTCAACTGTATATCCAGGTGTACTTTCCTTTTCTGATACACATATGAATTTCTTTTGGATGGTTTTATGATTTATTTTCCAGTTTGCTACTTGCTAGCTGTATTGATATTGCAATAAAGGCAACTGGCCATAATTACAAGTGATTCTTTTCTATGTATTAGTTTTATGCACCAGTTTCAACATTTATATCAATTGTGGCCAACTCTAGAAAACAAGAATAAAAGCATACTAATTACGAGCTAAGAACCTCCTAGTTTATCTTGAAGTTGTACCTGTATGTTTCCCTGCAAGTCCGTTGCATCTTTCTCTGCAACAATCTCTCTGTACTTGTTCATTTTCTTCTCTTGTTGCATTATTTTTATGTTATATTTGGGTCATGCTGATGTCCTTGACATCAGTTCCACAATTCCAACTATACCATTGCTTGTATAGTTTACTGTCACTAAATGTGAGATGTGTTCTAAATAAGCTTTAGATGGGCAATGGTATCTCTAGCTTAAGGCTCTCTTAGGCTGGCAATGATTGATGCAAATGTTAAAGGTGGTGCACATACTGTATATGACTAACAGCATTTGTGATAATGAAAATTGGACAAAAGTTTTGGATTTTATCACTATTAAACTATGTGCCATTTCCTTTTCCTTAGTTATAAATCCTGTAACCTTATATTAATGCAAAGCGTACTGATTTTGTATTGCCTTAACATTAATGTTTAGTGCATTTTTGCAAATTGTTGAACTAATGGTGATGTTTGCATGATATTGTAGGGTCCTCTTGGATGGCAATCGTTCTCAGGCCTGCCTATAGGAGAGTCTTTGTTGGATAGAGAAATTGATTTTTACATACATGCTGATGAAAGTACTGAGATAAGTGCTGTCTCCTGGGAAGCAACAATACAAAAGCATGTTCAAGAGGAACTTTATGATTCCTCACTTGGGGTATTTGCATCTTTTTCTCCTAAGTACTTAATTTTGTTCATTATCATATCTAGTTTAATATTAATGTATTCATGCAAAACAAATTTTTCCTAATGAATTTTCTTTAGTGCATGTTACTTTGATGCATGGATGTATTCTGAAAATGTGAGTTGCAATATCAGTGGTCTACTTGAAAATGGAATTTCTTACTTGTAATCCTGATGCTGGATATGTTGGCATATAGGCTAGAGTAGGCAACATCTCATCCCACATGTCTTTAATTTTTTTTTAATACATAAAAAACATAGGATTTTCTTAATCATTTGTTTTCTTTATATTGTCCTTCTGCCCAGTATAATATTTGTTTATAGTGGTTATTATCTAATGGTTTTACATTCAGGAAACTGGACATGGGCTTGAGCACCATTTGCATCGTGGCCGTGCACTTGCAGCTTTTAATCATATTCTTGGTGTTAGAGTTCAAAAGTTGAAACTGGAAGGCCAATCTGGTGCTACATCACATGGACAAACAAATGTCCAATCGGATGTGCAAAAACTTCTAGCACCTATAGCACACAGTGAAGAGGCTATTCTTTCATCTGTAAGGATTGATTTCTTTCCATAGAGCTTTGTACTTGCTGGATTAATTGGTTTCAGTCTCAAGGGGATCTAGAAAATTAACCATGTGTATAATAGTATTATGTGAAGGTTGTCATTTAAGGGCTTTTATTCAAATCAATGGTAGTAATATTCAATTTCCAACTGTAGGAGTATGCAATTGCAGCCATGCATGTGAAAATGTGGAATTAGGACCATTTCCAGATTTCTTTTTCATTTGCATTAACTGGAGCAAAACTGGATAGACTTTCAATTTAACATCAGATGCCTTACAAAGTCGGAAAAGTGCCGTAAATCTTGCTATCCAGCCTTTATTGCTTCAAATTTTATTATTATTTCTTTCCATTTGGCAGATCCAGTGAAGAGATTGCAGTAATTTGTTCTGTTTTTTAATCTCTGTCACTTGAGTCAATATATATTGATTGGACCGTAAAAATCAAAAAGTTTTTGGTGCAGAGGGCTACAAAAAATTGAAATCTATTAAAAGTGTTGGATATAAGAATATTTGGATGCTTGCAGAATGGCAATCAAATTTTGCTGTTTATGATATGCTACATGCTTTAGTTAAATTTTGCATGATACTCCCTTAATTTGCATTGAAGAGAGAGAGAGAGAGAGAGAGACAAACACAGAAATTGTTGATCTCAACTTTTGGAAATTACTAATTTCCTTTTTAGTTTAATGATATAATAGCACCCTGCTCTGTGGTTTCAAAACTGTAATCAGGTACCCTGGTATGTGCAGTGGGCTTACCTTGTGCACATGATAGCGAGGTCTATATCCAGACATGCTTCTTCATAGGGTGTTTGATCTGCAATTATAAAACCAGATTATGCATTAAAGTCAATGAAACTTCTGGGGAAGTCCATATAATTTGTGCTTCAAATTTTCGTGTGAATAGTTATAGACTTTTAAGTGATTCCACATTCTAAAATCTTTTATAACTAGACAAATGAAGACCAAATGAATTCCATTCACATGATGATGCAGGCCAGGTTTAATTATTTTTATTTTTCTTTATGGTCATTGGATGCAAATATCTTTTCTTTTAAGATTAACTCTGTTAAACTCAATGATGCACTAATACGTATCTTCTGGCGCTTCAGGTCATCCCACTTGCAATTACTCATTTTCAGGATTCTGTTCTGGTGGCATCATGTGCTTTTCTATTGGAGCTTTGTGGTTTGTCCGTAAGCATGCTTCGTGTAGACATTGCTGCCTTGAGGCGGATATCTTCATTTCACAAATTAAATCAAAGTAATGAGAAATATGGTCAATTTTCACCTAAATACTCTGCATTGCATGTGTCTGATGGAGCTGGCATGATAGATTCTCTGGCTAGATCACTAGCAGATGAATATCTGCGGAAGGATAGTGCAAGTGATGCTAAGCTAAAGAGGGCAACAGGTTTCTTGTCAAGCGAACGCTCTTCTCGAGCTCTCATGCTAGTCCTACAGCATTTGGAAAAGGCTAGCTTACCAGGGATGATGGATGGAAGGACAAGTGGATCTTGGCTGCTAACTGGTAATGGTGATGGAGCTGAATTAAGGGCTTACCAGAAAGCTGCAAGTCAACGCTGGAATTTAGTTAAAGTTTTCTGTCAGATGCACCAGCTTCCCTTAAGCACAAAATACCTTGCTGTATTGGCAAGAGATAATGATTGGGTTTGTCTCTTTCCCTTGATCTGTACAAAAAATTAAAATAAAATAAGGAATCATGAATCAGAGAGATGATTGCTTTGTCTCTTTTTTTGCTTGATTTTGACTTTTGAGTAACTTGTTCATGGCTTAATCTTATGTTCTTGTGTATGTTATAAGGTTGGATTTCTGTCTGAAGCTCAGAGTGGTGGATACTCTTTTGATACAGTTATTCAAGTGGTGAGTCTTTTTAGGTATTTATTAATTTTTCAACTAAGTCTTTTGCAAACAACTTTCGATAAAATTTACCTCATCTAAATTGTTATATAACTAACTATTTCAGGCAACCAAGGAATTTAGTGATCCCCGCCTCAAAATTCATATTTTAACAGTCTTGAAAGGCATGCAATCAAGAAAGAAAGCTGGTTCTCCTTCTTACTCAGATATAGTGGAAGAGACGTCCTGTTCAAATGATAGTGTACTCATACCTGTTGAACTCTTTAGAATTTTAGCAGATTGTGAGAAGCAAAAAGATCCTGGAGAGGCCCTCTTGAGGAAGGCAAAAGAGATGTCGTGGTCACTTTTGGCAATGGTAGCATCATGCTTTCCAGATGTGTCTCCATTATCCTGCCTAACAGTTTGGCTGGAGATTACAGCAGCAAGGTTATCACCAACTCCAAGTAACATAATGCTTTTGTGATATTTTCTTATCCTTTTTCAAGTTTTCGGACACTTGGGCATTTGAACTGAGAGTCATTTTACCGTCTGGGTTCACATTAATGTGCACTTCTATCCACTACTTATTCTATTATTATATGTGTTCTTTTGGAATATATTTGATTTGCATGATTTTGTGGAATCCATCTGATTTTGATAGTTGTATTTACAGGGAAACTTCAGCCATCAAGGTGAATAACATTGCTTCCCAGGTTGCTGATAATGTTGGATCAGCTGTGGAAGCTACCAATTCCCTGCCAGTGGGTAATAGGGCTGTAACATTTCATTACAACCGGCAGAATCCAAAACGTAGACGTCTCTTGGAGCCCATCTCTGTGGATCCATTGGTTGCGACTGCTGATGGGTCAAGAACTCATAGTCCAAAAGTATCTGTAGCAAAAGTAACTGGTGAAGAGGAAAGAAAAGATGGAGTCAGTGAACATATTAATTTATCAAATGATTCCGAAGAAGGGCCGCTGTCTCTCTCAAAGATGGTGGCAGTGCTTTGTGAACAACACTTGTTTCTGCCGTTGTTAAAAGCTTTTGAAATGTTTCTCCCTTCATGTCCTTTGCTGCCTTTCATCCGTGCGCTACAGGTCTGTGAGCCAACTTATAACACTTCCTATTCATTTCATTGGTTCCTTAAGATGAAAATAACTCTTTCTGTTGTAATTATGGTTCTTTCTCTATTAGAGTAGAACCTTCTTTTTCGCCCTTTAATATACTGCTCCTGCTGTGGAACATGTATACTGATTTTCTGTTGTGGCGCCATAAGGGTCATTGTTTACACACCATAGGTAAAAGCCTGGAGCATCCATGTCAATGTTCAATGTCTGTTATGCTTAATATTTTTAGTTTAATTTGCATCTGTCGTAATTCTGCCCTTTATTCAAGCAATTTTTCTTCTAGTTGGATCAACCTAGCATACCCTAAGAGTATTACAAAGTAATGTATGAAGACCAAACTGAGAGATGAATGTCTGACGTACAGCGGACTGCTCTACATATATCCATATATTTGTTAAGCATACTGAATTAAAAGTGATTTACATGGAGTGCATTATGAATAAGTGTATGCTGAAAAAATGTGCAGAAAATCCTCTAAGCCATCTGCCATTATCTTTTGGGTGACTAACCTTAATGGTTTTTCATTCAGATCCTTATGCTATGTTTGGGAAGAGGAAGTAAAATAAGGGTTTAAACTAACACTATTCACTTTGCTCCCATTGGAGTGAAAAATAGGCTAGAAAGGTGTAAAATAAATTTATTTCACACCCTCCTTAACATTTTCACCCAAACCAAACAAGGGATATTGAAACTTCCAAGGCATTTTCATTATTTAACGTCCATCCAAACATCCATTATTATATTAATTCTTTATATAGGTCATCTGCTTGTTTCAGTCGATTTTCCATCCAAGAAACAATGTCTTACCACCTGATATCACTGTGGTCTTGACATCTTGCTCACCAAAACAGATGACAGCAAATTTGAAAAATTGAATGATTGTAGTCTGAATCAAATCGAAATTGAAATAGCTATGCTGACAGTATCTTTATTCTTTTAAACCAAGGATGGCCAGGCAGTAAATGTTCTCTTAATTTTGCCTTCCTTATTTTGTTAAGAAACTTCGACCACAATGTATTATAAAAAGGCCAATGAAGTTTCATCTTTTGGAGGACCAGAACACAATGGTTTATGTTTAGTATTTATGGATATGCATGCAGCTATATCTGTATTTAGGTATACAAGGTGTTTTGGTGCGTGGTTCAAATAACTAAACACAAACACACAATGTATGCATGCTTGTTTAGCATGATACTACATAGTCAGTGTTTCCAGGATTTTGTTCCTTATTAATGGAGGCGTATTGCATTCCATTTTATTTATGAATTTTGATTGATAATAAAAACTTGCTTGTCTTTTCAAGTTCTATCAGGAACTTTTATGATTGTATGATTTTGGAACTTTGGAAGGTGCTCTTTTTTTGTTTGCCTTAGTGCACAGATGGAAAACCAAAAGTATCTATGTTCCCTCCCCCACTTCTGTTGCTTTCTTACTTCTGTGAGCTATTAACTGGATGTGGTGAACAGAAACTTTGCAGTATTAGGAAAAATTCAGAGTATGGATTCAATTTTGTTGATACTCTTGTGGAAACCACTATCGGTCATTCATATAATCTAGAATTCTTTTCCTTTCTTTCACTGTTAACATTTGAGTCAAAACTGTTAAAGTGGGTTCTGAAACATGAATAATTATGATTTGATTCCGATAGAAACTCAATTCTCTTTTTTCGTTTTCCACTTTCATTTTTTTTTTTCAGGCATTTTCACAAATGCGGCTATCTGAAGCTTCAGCTCATCTGGGTTCCTTTTCTGCCAGGATAATTGATGAAGCATCCGCTTTCCAATCAAGTATTGGAAGAGAAGGGCAGACTGGAGCATCATGGTTAAGTTCCACTGCTGTAAAAGCTGCCAATTCCATGCTTTCCACTTGTCCATCTCCTTATGAAAAAAGATGCTTGCTACAGCTCCTTGCTGCAACTGACTTTGGCGACGGAGGATCAGCAGCTACATATTATCGACGACTTTATTGGAAAATTAACTTGGCGGAGCCTCTGTTACGGAAGGATGATGGTCTACATCTTGGGAATGAGACCCTAGATGATGCTTCACTTTTAACTGCACTAGAAAATAATGGACATTGGGAGCAAGCACGCAACTGGGCCAAGCAATTGGAGGCCAGTGGCGGACCATGGAAGTCTGCTGTTCACCATGTTACTGAAACTCAGGTACTATTTCTTTGATACATATTTCAGCTTGGTCTGGATATTTGTCTTTTTATTAAAAAATTAACTTAAATAAGAAAAGAGAAGAATACAACCTGAAGGATAGAAAAGAGAAGAATACAACCTGAAGGATAAAAAATCCTCTTATTTAAAGAACAGAGACCAACGGGCATTAGAAAGAGTAAACGAGCGTTAGAAAGAGTAAACTATGTAACACCCTATTAAAAAATCAACTTAAATAAGAAAAGAGAAGAATACAACCTGAAGGATAAGAAATCCTCTTATTTAAAGAAAAGAGACCAACGAGCATTAGAAAGAGTAAACCAGCGTTAGAAAGAGTAAACTATGTAACACCTGCCAACCTAGCTCAATAACATGTGTAGGCATTTGATTGGAATCCTTGCAAGTGCAAGCCAGCAATTGAGACAAGAAAACTGACTTATCTCATAAAAAGCAAAACAAAAATTATTCTGGACTACACAAAATGTATAATTCCAATGGATGTTGGTCTCCTTTCTGGCAAACCCTCTCCAATAAAATTAAGATCACCGAGGTTCTTGGGCTTACTCAACTCTTTTCAAAACACTTCACCTCACAATATAAAGAAAAGAAGAATCCTCCTCTTCCACGACAGCTAACAAACAATCAGTGTCTTAGGTTAGGTTAAATTTCGGAAACCTATTAATCTATGGTAAAATTAACATTTGGATATTCACTTTCTTCAAATAGAATTGAATGGTTAACTTTTCATTAGCTGATGTTTTAGTTCCTTTCATCAACTTGTATAAATTTCAGTCCCTCACTTGGTTAAATAAAATAACTTTTTCGGTTCCTGAAATTTTAGATCAAACAGGTTTAATTCCACAAACAAGTGGAGTAGATGGTGAATGTTAAAAATTTGACTGAATGGTTTTTCCATAAAACTCTAATGCTAGTTTAACAAAGAATTAAAAGTTGTACTTGAATCTGACTCAAGGATGATGCTATTCACCTTTTTTTTTTTTTTTAATTTTAAGAAAAAAAGAGGAACCTAGTTTTATTGTTATTATTTGAATGAGTCAAGGAATTTTTGAATATTACTCTTCATGTCATGAATATACAAAGAACTGCAAACTAGTCAAAAGTCTTTACTGTAGGCAGTACACAAGCTTTAAAAATTTGATGGATGCAGCACTCGAGGAAAACAGAACATAGAAAAGATTATCTTTAGGAGAGGATTCATTAGATGTTCACAAAACTACAAAGCTTCCTGTTTACCTGGATGACGAGTGATATGCTTACTACAGAATAAGTAACAAAACAATTGGCATTATCTTTCTGACACTGCTTCGATTTTGTACTGGTATCAATATGGACCTCTTGACTCATTTTTGTTCCTTTTTCTTTTCAACCTCCAGGCTGAATCCATGGTAACTGAATGGAAGGAGTTTCTTTGGGATGTTCCTGAAGAGAGAGTTGCTTTGTGGGGCCATTGTCAGACACTGTTCATAAGATATTCCTTTCCTCCTTTACAGGTGTGCTTATTTACTATTAGGAAAATGAGAATGAAGTTTTTGCCTACTTGCTACTAATGTGTTAATTATCTCTGGTTGTGCATGGTTTACAGGCTGGGTTATTTTTCCTAAAACATGCTGAAGCAGTGGAGAAAGATCTTCCAGCAAGAGAGCTTCATGAACTGCTTCTGCTTTCTCTTCAGTGGTTAAGCGGAATGATAACTCTGTCTAATCCGTAAGTGGTTTTGTTGACATTTCAAATTTCCATGCACGTCTTGGCATATGACTATCTTTTTTTTACCTGTGGCATTGTGTGATGTTTTTTTCAGTGTTTATCCCATAAATCTTCTCCGAGAAATTGAGACCAGAGTATGGCTCTTGGCAGTAGAATCAGAAGCTCAGGTAAAGAGTGATGGAGATTTCACAACCACCACTTCCAGCCGGGATCCTGTAAATGGAAATACTTCCAATATCATTGACAAGACTGCAAATTTAATAACAAAGATGGACATTCATATAAATTCAATGAGTAATAGAACTGTTGAGAAACATGATGCGAGGGAAAACATATTAGGACTTCAGAAGAACCAAGTACTGGATGCCAGCACTCCAACAGCAGGATTCAGTTTGAAGGCAAAGAGGAGGGCCAAAACTTATTTGCCATCAAGACGACCGTTTATGGAGTCGACAGATAAAAATGCTGATCCTGAAGATGTTTCGGTTGGTCACACTTCCAAAAATGACTTGCAGTTGCAAGATGAAAACTTCAAGTTAGAAATTTCTTTTTCTAAATGGGAGGAAAGGGTTGGACCTGCAGAGCTAGAAAGGGCTGTTCTTTCTCTACTGGAGTTTGGACAAATAGCAGCTGCCAAGCAACTCCAGCATAAGCTGTCTCCAGAAAGCACTCCTTCAGAGTTTGTGCTTGTTGATGCTGCTCTAAAGCTTGCTGCTATCTCAACTCCTTGTAGCAAAGTTTCTCCGTCAGAGCTTGATGAGGAAGTGCATTCTGTTGTTCAGGCGTATAATATATTCACTGATCAGCATCTGGTCGATCCACTAGAGGTTGTCCAATTATCTCATGTTCTTGTGTTCTCTCTCTCTCTCTCTCTCTCTCTCTCTCTCTCTAATCTTAATCATACGAAGTATGTGCTTATTCATTTTATATTGGCTTTTCTAACAATATATTTTGTATGATCTGAATATGCAAATGAAGGTGTTGGAGAGTTTAACAACTATATTTACTGAGGGTAGTGGACGCGGTCTGTGTAAGAGAATAGTAGCTGTCGTAAAAGCTGCAAATATTCTGGGTCTCTCTTTTTCCGAGGCATTTGAGAAGCAGCCAATTGAATTGCTGCAGCTTCTTTCTCTTAAAGCACAGGAGTCATTTGAAGAAGCTTCTTTGTTAGTACAAACTCATTCCATGCCAGCAGCAAGTATTGCACAGATTCTGGCTGAATCCTTTTTAAAGGTAGACCTTTGCTTGCAAATTGCATTCTCATTCCCATGTTTTATCTTTAAACTAATTTTAAAGGCATGTGGCGTTTGCATCCAGAAAAATAAATGCAATCAGGAGACTAAAAGTTAAAACTATCTTTCTAAGTTGATCCATCTTAGCCGCCTGATCTGCATCTTGGCATCACAATTCAATCTCTATCTGAGGCTGAGCTTTTCATTTCTTGTATTTTGGCTTTATTTGCATTACACCACTTCAGAAAGTGGCATTCCTCAGTTTTCTCGTCTTTTGCATATTGGCTTCAGGGTATATTGGCTGCACATCGTGGGGGATATATGGATTCTCAGAAGGAAGAAGGACCTGCTCCTCTATTGTGGAGATTTTCAGACTTTTTAAAGTGGGCTGAGCTTTGCCCTTCTCAACCTGAAATTGGCCATGCATTGATGCGTTTGGTGATCACAGGACAAGAAATTCCACATGCATGTGAGGTAAATCATTTATCATAAAAGGTGAATGGTAATCTGGTACATACGTATAATGCTTTTTGAATTTTAGAAATCAGAACTACTTAGTGTTTATAGTTGTTGCTGCTATCGTTTTCCTTTTGGTAATAACAATGGTGGTGTTTCTTACTTCTTATTATATTATCATCATTATAATACGGTGAAATTCATAGTGATCCACAGATGGTAAAAAATTTGTCTCTCGCTAAGAGATTCATGTAGCTTTCTTTATCATGTGGATTTATGATTATTGGAGTTCTTTTCAGTGTCAACTAATAACAAACAGTTAATTGTGATGTCTTCTGGCTAGTGTGGAAATGGAATAATTTAAATCAATGCTTGTTTTATCATTGATATTCTACTCGTTAGGTCAATAATTCAATTGTACCTACAGGATCCTCATAATAATGCTTGCCCAATTTATAAGAAATCAATCAATAGTAGAAATAATGTATTACAAGTATAATATGATTTTTTTAATGTTTTCTTGATTTTGCATGATCCTTTTTTGAGTGACTAGCTTTTCTTTTACTGGAATTTTGTGTTCAGGTGGAGCTTCTTATTCTGTCTCACCATTTCTACAAGTCATCAGCTTGCCTTGATGGAGTTGATGTCTTGGTAGCTCTTGCTGCCACTAGAGTTGAAGCCTATGTCTCTGAGGGTGATTTTCCATGTTTGGCTCGATTGATAACTGGGGTTGGCAATTTCCATGCCCTTAATTTCATTCTTGGAATTCTCATAGAAAATGGTCAGCTGGATCTTCTACTTCAGAAGTATTCAGCTGCTGCAGACACAAATGCAGGCACTGCTGAGGCTGTAAGAGGATTTCGGATGGCTGTTTTGACATCATTAAAGCATTTCAACCCAAAAGATCTGGATGCATTTGCTGTGGTTGGTATATGCATGAGTTGATATATTTTCTGGCATAACCTGTTTATATATTTCTTTTATGTGCTTGGTTTAAATGCAAAGAAGTGTATTTTTCCTCTGGATCATGTGCATGTTTTTCTTCTTTCCAGGTGTATAACCACTTTGACATGAAGCACGAAACAGCTTCTCTTTTAGAGTCACGAGCGTGGCAGTCTTGTGAGCAATGGTTTCATCGTTATGACAAGGATCAGAATGAAGATCTCCTTGAATCTATGCGGTATTTCATTGAAGCAGCTGAAGTTCACTCTTCCATTGATGCTGGCAATAAAACTTGCAGAACTTGTGCTCAGGCTTCCCTTGTTTCCCTTCAAATTCGAATGCCGGATTCCAGGTGGCTAAGTTTATCTGAAACCAATGCCAGGCGATTATTGGTAGAGCAATCCCGTTTTCAAGAGGCCTTAATTGTTGCCGAAGCGTATGGTCTCAACCAACCAAGTGAGTGGGCTTTGGTGCTTTGGAATCAGATGCTAAAGCCAGAACTAACACAAGAATTTGTGGCTGAATTTGTTGCTGTTCTTCCACTCCAACCTTCAATGCTCGTGGAACTGGCTAGATTCTATAGGGCTGAGGTAGCAGCCAGAGGTGACCAATCGCAATTCTCAGTGTGGCTGACCGGGGGAGGGTTACCTGCAGAATGGGCTAAATACTTGGGCAGATCATTCCGATGCTTGTTGAAGAGGACTAGGGATCTGCGGTTAAGGTTACAGCTCGCTACAATAGCAACTGGTTTTGGTGACATTATCGATGCATGTGTCAAGGCACTCGACAAGGTTCCTGATACTGCCAGCCCCCTTGTACTGAGGAGAGGTCACGGTGGAGCTTACCTCCCATTGATGTGAAATGCTATTGCACTCTAAATTCTAATATAGCACGGCGGTTTATATATACCCCCTAATTTCTTGGGGAATACACAGCTGGGGGCAATGGAGGAGTGAATGTAGATTAGCTTGTTAGTTAGATGGGATGGGAAATCTTGTAAATACCAAAGCTAAAAACCTTGTTTATTCTTGCTTTTTCCTTTTCCAATACTTTGGAGGGCAACTTGTATTTTCAATTATACAGTGAGGGAGGGCAATGTTCATTTTTGTAAGAGAAAGATACATGCATATATTATATTCTTTTTGTTTGTGTTTGTATTGATGATATTTTGCAAAAAAATTTTGAATTTGAATAATAAAATATTTCTCATAGTTAATTAAAAGCTTGAGGAATTCCATTGAATTAGAAAAGTTCGGTTTTATGTTGGGGTGATTGAGATGTTTGTTGATGATGGGAATGGGACTTGGTTGATGTGGATTGCCTGATAGATGGGCTTTATAAATTTTAAACAGGCAGTAGAACAATTTAGTTTTAAGGGAGATTGTGAAGAAATTTCGGAATAATAGATCGAGTTAGTTTTTCTTTAATGCTCTCTTAAGTAGTGAATCTATTTTTTTCTTCACGAGTATGGTATCTTCTTTATATTATTATTCTATACATAGCCTATCTAGGACCGGATGATACAACTCTGATCTGAGACTCTACTAGCAGCATTGTCTAGCTTAGCTCTTTGTAGTCTCTGACTGATTTCTTTCAATGCTTTTCTCATAATCATGCATTCAACATAATATCCTTGTGTATTATATATCATTATTGCAAATTGATTATGTGCTGCATAGGAGCGTCATCAAACCGCCTAAATCGATCTAAATGAATTCAAACTGATTTAAAATTGCAGTTTTAAAAAATAACCGCCTAAATCGATCTAAATTAATTCAAACTGATTTTAAATTGCAGTTTTAAAAAATTTGATGATCGAGTTTGATTTTATAAAATTAAAAAGATCAAGTTTTTGGTTTGGTTATGGTTTTGAGGTTAAGATCATCCAAACCGAATCAAACCATTATATATATATTAAACAAATACATCGTTTTAATTAATTAAGGCTCAAGCGCTAAGATCGATCTCAAATTAATTCAAACTCGATTTTTAAATTGCAAGTTTTTTTAAAAAAATTTGATGAGATCGCGACGTTTGATTTTTATAAAATTTAAAAAAGGATCAAGTTTTTGGCGTTCTGGTTACATGGTTTGAGTGTGTAAAGTCATCCAAAACCGAATTCTAACCATATATTATATATTAATTATATATGGTATATATTATATACTCATATTACACTTTTAAATTTAATTCATTTTATATATTAACTTTTAAATTTAATTCATTTTTTTTGGATAATTTATACTGGATAATAAGTTATGTTATTTGTTTATATTGAATGATAATTGGATGCTAATTTCTTATGAAATTAGGTAAAGTATATTTTTATTAAAATTTCAAATATTAAATATTCATGGAAAATTATATTAATATACATGCATATACAAATTACTTGTTAGCAAAACTATGGTTTTTTTATAATTTTTTCAGCAATAAATGTAAAAATAAATCAAAACTTAAATTCTATATTTAGAAATTGCTTAATTAACGTCTTATTGAATACGTGACTTTTTTAAACCATATTAAGAATAAACAAATAAAAATTAATTTAAAAACTTGCAATAGCTACTCAAAATCATGTATATTGCATTGTATTGTTTAGTTTGTATAAACACATCTTTCATTCTTTGTATAATGTTAATTTCTTTTTTTTCTTGTTACCTAAATGAATCAAAACGTTTTATTTTTCTTCTTTCAAACTGTCCAAACCGCCAAATCAAATCGCCACTAAATGTTTGGTTTGGTTTGAAAATTTTTTATGGTTAGGTTGATTTTCAAACCATCACTTTAAGTTTGATTTTGATTATCATATTTAAATTGAACCAAATCGACCCGCGGATAACCCTAGTGCTATATATAATTGCATAAATTGTTAGGCATCAGTTCTGATATCAGTTGTTGGACATCAGCTCTGATATCACTTATTGGGCCCTTTCAACCAATTAAGAGAAAATTGACGCAGCGGAATAGTAGAAATAGGACACACAGAAATTTACGTGGTTCACCTTCAACTGTTTAGGCTACGTCCACGAGACAAACTCCGAATCATTCTTCCACTATTAAAAAATAGTAGGTACACAAAGAGAGTAATACAAAAATAGTGGCACTCAAAGTGATAGTTTAGGTACACAAAGAGAGTAATAAAATAGTGGCACTCAAAGTGCTTCCGCAACAAAATCCAAAATAAGTTTCCCTCACTAATTTTTTTTCAATCCCATTCTTCCACTATTAAAAAATAGTAGGTACACAAAGAGAGTAATACAAAAATAGTGGCACTCAAAGTGTTTCCCAAAAACATCCCAAAATAATTTCCTCACTATTTTTTTCTCCCATAATTTTAGGAAACCCTTCCTCAAACTCCATAACCTCTCTCTCTACATTTTTTTCTCTCGTTTCTGGTGCATTGTGTAGAGGTACATCTGCCTCTATTTATAGGCGAGGATACGAGAGAGGTAATGTGAGAGCCGTGTGTGAGTTACACACGGCTCTCCATTTATGTTGATTGCCAACCTTTGAATAACTTTTGCTGCCAATTTTGATTTCTTCTAAAACAATGAGTGTTTTATTTTTTCAAATATATGTTGGTCCCACATGTCGGAGGGACCCCACAGCATAAATGGGTGACATTAGTTAGACTTGAATCATTTTCTTGAATATATTCGTGGTTGGTTGGATGGTATTGGGGGACGAAGCAGGACCATCGATGGATGTGGTTAAAAAAATCTGCGCATTGGGGTGAACTACCATACTGTATACTAGATTTGAGGAATTCTCGCATCGGGGCTAGCTACCAATATTGTATGTTGGATTTGGGAAAATAACGTGTTCACGCATCAGAATTAGCTACTCATATTGAATGCTGGAATGTCCATGCACTGGGTAGCTACCCATACTGTATGCTGGACATGTGAATATTAAGAGACTGTGATACTTGTCGACTAAAGCCGTCACTGTTTGATTTTGTAAATTTGTTGTTGTTGTGACATTTAAGTGATATTCTGACTATGAGAGATGTCTATCAATGGGTAAGTATTGTGAGGTATCATTTGCTGTGACTTCTGCATTTAGTGCATATAAGTCTTTTATTATCTGTAAAATAGATTAGAAGTTTCGTAATTTACCAAAAACATAAATGATATCAATAAGTATATTATATAATGATGATGTTCTAAAAATTGATGATTGATATCTGCTGAGTTTTACTGTTCGATTTATAACAGATTGATGCGAGCTGGAGAGCCCTAAATATGCTATCTACATAATTGATATGATTTGGTATATACTCTCAAGTAGTTATTATTGTTGTAATCTAGTTTTAGCATTGGTCTTCAATTTCATGCTGTTAGCAGCGGCCAAATGTATAGATTTACCTAGGGGTGGCCATATTACGGTTCCTGAAACTGGAACCGGTCCGAACCGGAACCGAAACAGGTGGGAACCGGAACCGGTCCGAACCAGAATCAGAACCGGATATTTCCGGCTCGGTTCCAGTTCCAGTATTGTTGGAATCGCAAACCGGCGGTTCCACAAACCAGTCAGAACTAGATGGAACCGCTGGTTCTCCGGCCGGTTAGAACCGCTGGTTCGAACCGGTTCGAACCAACGGTTCTAGCCGTTTGAACCTTTTAAATTTTTTTTTTTAAAAATTTTGTTGGCAACTTAACTACGTGAGCTTTGATTCCTGTAAACTCCAGAGGATACGTAGGCAACTTAATTTTTTTTTTTAAAAAAAAAAATTTTACGTAGGCAAACTTAATTTTTTTTTTTAAAAAAAAAATTTAAGTTTTAAAGGCCTTTTTTAAAAAAAATGATGTTCAACTTTTTAAACAAAAATAAAATTTACAGTAAGAAATTTTTTTTTAATACAAAATATTAAGTCAAGAATTAAAAAAATAAATTTAATTGAAGCATTTTTTAATTTTAGGCTATTTTTTTTTTAAAGAAATTAACTTTCACAAATTTTTTTTAAATTTTGAACAAAGACTGGTCTTTCAAAATTTAAAAATTTAAATTATGCGATTTCGCCGAAAAAACCCGGAATCGGAACCGTCGGTTTTAAAAACCGTTAAGAACCGAACCGTTGCGTTGAAAAACCGGAAACCGGAACCGAAACATTTTTGGTTCGGTCTTTCCGGAAACCGTAGGCATTGGCCTTAGATCTACCCGAGTCGGTTTTAAAACCGTTAAGGAACCGGAACCGTTTGGTTGAAAACCGGAACCGGAACCGAAAATTTTTGGTTCGGTTCCGGAACCGTGGCCATGCCTAGATTTACCCCGGAAGTTTATGCAATTTACCTTGTGACACTCTCTAATTTGCGAGGGACTTATCACAATTCTATAATTTTACATTTCAGTAATAACTATACTCTTCAGCAAAATGAAATAATCTGCAAGAATTTAATCATAACCATATATTTTTACATTTTATTTTAGCGAGCGAGATAATTATTATTAAAATGTAAAAATGTAAAATTATGATAGATTTTTCATAAATTTAAAAATGACACAAAACAAATCAAATTTATGCATTACGTCTGTTAGCTCTGATCCTTTTAATGCCCTGTGCCAAACCGACGTTGTAGAGCTAGGGGTTTCAATTTGTCCTCGGGTTTTCTTCATTCAAAAACAAACTTAACCTTTTTCAATTGGATTGGATATGGCCTAATCGATGTTTGTGACTCGGCCCAATATATTAGCATGAAATAAAAGGAACTGAACGATCCTTTCAAAAGGAGCTCTTCTTGCCAAACAAAAGCTGCTCTTCCGCCATCTTCATACTCGTGTATAGTTATACTCTCTCTTTCTCTCATCCACATCCATTTTCATTTCTGGGTTCATAGTTTTGATAAATTCAGTTCGTAATTTGCAGTAGTTTTTCATCTGGACAGCTTTAATGGGTCCTTTGACGTTAGCTATCGATGCAAAAAGCTCTTCCAATGTCTCCTCAGGTAAATTCCATTTTTGTTTTAAAGTAATATCTAAACTTTGAGTTTTCCTTCGAATGTTTCTTTGATTGTTCTTGTTTTTATTTATTTTACAGTATAATGTGAACGTAATTAGTGTAATTGGAGATGGAGATTACCATAATTTTGTTTTTCTTTTCTTTTTTTTCCCCTAAATTTTCCTCCCTGGGAATTTATTTAAAAATTAACTTACCATTTTTTGGGTTTTGCAGATGCACCATTTAACAAAATTCAAAGTTCCTCTCAGCTGGAAGCAAGAAAGGCTTTTGCATCAATCAGCACGCAAGAAGAAAAACCATTTGATTTTTTGCGTACTTTATTTGGTATACATCAAATCTTTATTACTATTATTTTTTTTTTTATATTTAAAAGCAAAGTTGTTTTTTTAAAATTTGCAGTTGTCAAGTGTTGTTTCAATGGAAGTGGATGAGCTCTTATTTTTTTTAGTGTGTTTTTTGATTTTTGAAGGAAGTTATATGCCCCACTTACTGTATGAATGTTTCTAACTGGTCTGGGGAATTTTTGTAGAGGGAGTCATAGCAGGAGGTGCAGCTGGTGTTGTTGTGGAAACAGCATTATATCCAATCGATACGATAAAGACAAGACTGCAGGCAGGTTAAATAAGTGATGTTTCATATTTGATGTTGGAAATTAACTTTAGGATTTTTCTGTTATCTTAAGTTCTTCTATGATTGTTTTGATTAAGGGATTGTACTCTGTCATTATTAGCTAGGTAAAGTTGGCTTTATTTGTATTTGTACTTTTACCCAGTTTTCTATGCTAGGCAATGGCCCTTTTGTTGCTACTGATATCCATGAATCACATTTGGCATGATAGCTAACCTAGTTCCATAAAAATTTGTGTGATCAATGATTTTCATGAAAGTTTAATCTCCTGTTGATAACTATTCAGATCTCTTTCTGGTAAAAGATTGAGATGCTCTAATCATAGGTTTCTTAATAGACACTGCTTATTTTCTCCTCCTTATTGTTTAGTTGCTTCTTCAAAGAATTGAACTAGTTTTAGCATGTGTTTGATGCAGAAAAGTATTAACTTGTTAATATTAAATATTTTAATGCATCCTCAATTAACTTTGTTTCACAATTTATAAAAGCAGTAGACAATAGCATGCTGAATTACAATCGAATCTATCTATTTTCTAGGCAGCTCATGGTGGTGGGAAAATAATTTTGAAAGGTCTTTACTCTGGATTGGCTGGAAATATTGCTGGTGTCTTACCGTAAGTATCCTTGCAGAGTGTGCTAATATTTCTAGGTTTATTTTACAAATTGGATGGATGGTTATTTAATCACTTGAAAAGAAGTTTTTCAAGTTCAGATAAGTGGCATGTCCATATCTAAGATTGTTATATATCAACTTTCATGAAGACAATTCAAATCATGTAACTCCACCATAATATTATGGGGATCCAATCTTAATGTTACTATTTATAGGGGTCTCTCTCTCTCTTTCTCTCTCTCTCATGTTTATGGTCACTTTTTCTGCTTATCCATTTGTGTGCATCCATCCATTATCCACACAGTACAGAAGTCTCTATTGTCTAGCTGATCATGTTCTATGCTTGCCTATTTGTTTGCAGCTTGTGTGTGCATTCACTCAAAGCACAAACTGTTGTCACCTTGCGCCTGCTAAAAAATTTAGGAAAAAACATAAATTGCAATTAGTCTGCTTCAGGATTCACTGCTTAGCTTTTGCTATTGGCTGCTAATTCTGATTAAACTAGGTTTATAATCTGCTGGATTATCAGTAGTTTACTTTGGCAAATTATGCAATTCTGGAAGTATAGAGATATTTCTCCTCTTCAACTTTCAGTGCGTTCACTTTGTTGTCGTGAGGAATTGTAGGGAGGCATTTAACTCAACTATTGTGGTGTTATGATTACTTTAGAAATTCTTTCTATGCAAAGTTATTTGACTTCATCTAATATTGAAAGGTTTTAGTTTCCACATAACTTTTTTCTGTACATCTGTTATTACTCCTTGCTTCATCATTAGTAGGTAATTTGCTTCTTCTTGCTCAGGGCTTCTGCATTATTTGTTGGAGTATATGAGCCTACGAAGCAGAAACTGCTGAGGATGTTACCTGAAAATCTTAGCGCTGTAGCTCATCTAGTAAGATTTTTTCCTTGTTCTTTTCAAAATCTTATGTCATGTGATTGAATATTCCTATTTGTTTAATCTTTATTAATTTTTTTAAGCCCAAATACATTAGGGGTGCACAATAGTTTCAGTGCTCCACACTTTCCCTGAGATCAGAATTCCTGACATTTCATAGTTTTTGATTCTCCTTGGTTTGCATCTTCTGTCATATCAGGTGCCCAGGTTCGAAGGTCATTTTGTATATGAACTTAAATAATTTCATATGATAACCCTCCTGATTTTAGTTGCATTTAAGGTTTGTTGTGGTAGGGTATTTCCCCATTCATGGATATCATTTTCTTGCATTGTGATATGGGATTCTTGACTTTATACAGACTGCAGGTGCTGTGGGAGGGGTTGCTGCTTCTCTCATTCGAGTTCCGACAGAGGTATTAAGTAATGCTTTGTGAACTATTAGTTCGCATTCATATCTTTTTGAGTTTTTAAAATAATCTCCAGGTTGTTAAGCAAAGGATGCAGACTGGTCAGTTTACTTCAGCACCTAATGCTGTGCGCCTTATTATCTCTAGGGAAGGTTTTAAGGGGCTTTATGCAGTAAGTAATCCCTTCGATTTAAACTCAAGTATCAACCTACATCTATTTACAATCTAAGATCTCATATTTGCTACTCTGAATTAGCAAAATTTATACTGACAATTTTATTTCAAGTTATAGTAAAGATTGAAAAGGTTCTTTTTAGGACTAAAAGGTTTCTGTCGTTTTTTCTCTGTAATTATTTATGGCTGTGAATTTATGACAAATGCACTCCATATATCTTTCATTTTATCTTTTTGACTTGAGTGTAGGGATATGGATCATTTTTACTGCGAGATTTGCCATTTGATGCAGTTCAATTTTGTATCTATGAACAACTTCGGATAGGCTACAAAGTGGCGGTATGCTCCTCATTCTTCATAGAAGTGTGTCATGTAATCTTGTTGCTTGAAAGTTTGTGGTTCCTTCATCATGCATCACACTTTTCATTTGAATGCCAGTTTGCTATTTGAATAATGCTTAGTTTCATTTGCTGATAGATTATCATATGCAAAATAGATTATTGATCATCATTAATCCCTAGCCCATATGTATACTATACATATTTCAGAAAGGCATACTAGTATGGTCTTCATGAACCTGGAAATTGTCACTTGGCCTTGCATGAGCACATTTTCATTGGACTCTAATATGAAAAAACGGGATCATGTTGATTTCCACTGTTGCTTTATCCTGGGTGTTCCCATTATCGTTCAGATTCTATATATGAAAATGTGATATTTTCCCCTGCATTTTTCTTTGTGTATTTTTGCACATAGGTTATCAAAACACGTAAGTTAACGTAAGCCAGTTCTATAAAGAACCATTCTTCCCAATGAAGCAGTATTGTTAGTTACCTTATATGATTCCAACTTTCCAAGTGCATACATCTTTTATGTGGAACTATTGACAATATAGAATTAGCATTTAAATGGCACTATTTTACCCATTTCTATAGAAAAACAATAAAGGGGAGCATGTTCCTGTTAATATGTAACTCTCTTTTTCTTGGCTTTATTTTGGCAGGCACAAAGAGAATTGAATGATCCAGAAAATGCTATTATTGGTGCTTTTGCTGGTAACAATCTTAATTTTATGCTTACAACTGGAGTTGGTCATATGATGAACGCCCTCTATGCAGTTCTAACATTGTCAAGATATTAACTCGTAACGTTTTAATTGAATTGCTTGCTTTTCCTTCCTCCAATATGCATGCTTTGACTTGGTTGAGGAAACTTACTAATAGCCAGCTCCATAGTCTAATACATAGAGCTAATTGTGGAAGATTTAGTGAGAAATGAGATTATAAATTTCCAAGTTTTACGTGCACAATATGACAGCTGGACATGTGATGTAGCTCCAGGGTCACATGAACTTTGAAGGAACAACTGTCTATATGAACTTATTAGGAATGATTTTTGCCTTTTATGGTAACTTTTATCATCATGTTTATACAAAAATGTAAGAGTTTAAGTGAGAAACAAGGTAATAAATTTTGCCAATTACATGAATAGCATGATTGCTGTCCATGTGACAGCTTCTAGTTCATATGAACTTGAGAGAGCAATTTTTTTATTGGTGGACTCATGCATGATTTTTACCCGTTTACTGTTCTTTTTACACTCAGTTGTCATGAATAGATTTCCATGGTTTTTTTTTTCCATTTTATGAAGATCTTACTCTCATCTTACTAGCCAAGACGTGTCTCATTCTCTTAGCTTTCTTATGCACATAATGTAATTTATCAATCCTATGCATATTGAATATTTATTTTATTTTATAGGTGCATTAACTGGAGCTATAACTACACCACTTGATGTGATTAAGACAAGATTAATGGTTCAGGTAGTTTCAATGTCTCATTCTGCTGTTCTTTATATCTTGGAGCCCATTTCTTAACCTTTTTGGTCATATTATTATTCTCTGTAGGGTTCAGCTAACCAGTACAAAGGCATCTTTGATTGTGTTCAAACTGTTGTTAGAGAAGAAGGACCCAATGCTCTTCTAAAGGTACATATTATCAATAATACTGTTTCATCTTAGAAGTTAAATATCCAAATTAGATGCTTTCTTACAGAATCTATGATGCTATTATTTGAGGGTAACCGTGCTGTCACCAATGAGCTTGAGGGTATATTTCTACTCCCTCTGTTTCAAAATACAAGTCGTTTAAGGTTTTTGCATAAAAATTAAGGAAGCAATTAATTCTCCTAGATTATAACAAACTCAAGGATAATTTATCTTTTATCTCAAACCCAATAGTTGATTGTGAAGTATTTATTTTATTTAGTATAAACAAGGACAACATTGGAAAAATACATTTATTACTTCTTGAAATACACAAAACGACTTATATTTTGGGATAAAATAACAAACTAAAAACGACTTATATTTTGGGACAGACGGAGTATTACATAGTGTGAAAAAAAAAGGAACTTATATTGTATCACAATATGTCATGACTTGAGATTTTTTGTTTTTGTTAATCATATTATTTCTATTAGCTGCTGAACTCACTTAGGTCTTCTTTAGTCATTTTTGGATCATTCAAGACTTTTGCAATCATATATTAGATGTGCTTGTAAAAAAATTCATGTTCATTTTAGAATAAGACTGATAAGGTCCCATTAACTGAAAAAATAGGAAATAAATTATGAGAATTAGAGGGATATGAAATGGTGATTGGTGTGAGAATGATACACTACCAACCTAAAATTGAACAATCTCAGCACATGGGGAGAAATTTCATTTCCTTTTCTTGTTTTTGGTGTCTGACATTGCAGGGCCTAGGTCCAAGAGTTCTGTGGATAGGCATTGGTGGTTCCATCTTCTTTGGTGTATTGGAAAGCACAAAACGGTTTCTCTCTCAGAGGCGTCTTACACCTAGTCAACAATCGAAAAGCGATTAATAATGGTGAACTTGGAGGCTTTTGTCCACTGATGGCATTATTATGCACATTCCTTTGAAGAAACTGAGAAGATTAACGCTTGAAGCTGTTAAGCATCATCTTGCTATCCTTGCTGCTGTGTTGCGCCTGGAGTTCCATGGCTTCAAGCTCAATTATAGTGGAGAAGACATATGAAGGATTTCATCAAATCCCTCATTAAGATTGACAATGAAGTTGTTCTATTTTGACATTTTGTTTAACAGGGAATACACGCGAGGCTTGTACATGCAGCAGGTTGTTATTTTATAGGAAAGTAATTTCCTAGTAATACAGCATATTTCAGCTGATTGCAAGATTGCTTGATACACACGCACCACACACGTATTTACATGCATGCATGCATGCATACATACTGTATATGGGGCCAGCCCTACATTTATATGTGCACTATACATAGAGATATAGTATGTGTATACGTGGGGTGTGTGTTTATTTATTTATTTTAAGCCAAATAAATAATTTCGTCTATTTATTGAGAAAAATTTTGCGGCGGGTTGCTTTTAAATTACAAAACTTTTTTAACATTGCATATTTCTCTGCATTACTAAATAACAATTTTTATGGTTTTTAATTTTTGTAATTAAAATATAAATTTGATATATAGTTAATACAATTTCTGAAACAATAAATTTCATATCTTTATAAGTATCTAACAAAATTCATCTAATTTATAAATTGTAGCATTCAATGGTTGTATGTTCCGCAGTGAATTTATGCATTTCGTGTTTTATTTTTACATGTTAGCGTCATAAATTAATAAAAGAATATTTTCTGGTCTTTGCTTAATTTACGAGGTGTAAGCAATAAATAGTTATAACTGCTAAATAGGAATCATTTCCCCAAAAATGTCATGAAAGCCTGTGATTTTTGTCTAAACCGTTGAATCAAGCCTTAATATTCTTGAATTTCGTTTGTCTTTCTAACCGTTCATAGGGTAGTAGACAAAATAAGCATTTTTTGCACCTGACAGATAATCGTTGTGAAAAAGAAAAGGACAAAGAAAAAGAAAACATCTAACTTGGTCTTCAACTTAGTTAGTTTCAATTAAACTGTAAGGTACATAGTCTCTTCCCTCCAAAAATATCCGATGAACCAAAAAAAGAAAAGAGAGTAACAATCAAGTTTTAAGGATATGAAACCAATCATTCATTTGTGGATCACGTTAAATATTTTCTTTCTTCAATTTCTTGTTTGCCGAACAAGAAATTGTTATGGCTGTCAGTTAGACCCTCCAACCGCTACCTCTGTCAAAGATTCATCTTCTTGTTACATATAAAGTTGAAAAGAATTGCATACTCTCTCTACGCTTCTTTGGAAAATTTCCAATTCTGACTGCTAAATTTAGCAAATTAATCAGCTATGTTATAAAACAAACTCATTATCAACTAACCATGCATTTAAATCCCTTTTTCTCATCCCTATAAAATATCACCCAAAAAAAGAAAATTGCAAGAATTTTCATTTTAATTCTTTTAATTTGCTTTTTCATTGTTTCTTGCAGAAATTTAGTTATCATCATTTTCCATTCCTATCAAGCTTGAAACATGACGCGAGCCTGCAATTTGCAGTTATGGAGTTATTGTTGTATTATTATGGTTTGGTTGGTGTTCTCGTTCAATATTATGCAAGCGTTTTCGTCTATTGTTCCAGGTCTAGGTGTAAACTGGGGAAATATAGCATCACATCCATTGAATCCTAACATAGTGGTTCAAATGTTAAAGGATAATGGGATCAAAAGGGTTAAGCTTTTTGATTTTGATTCTTGGACCTTAAATTGCTTGGCTGGTTCAGGGATTGAAGTTATGGTTGCTATTCCTAATAAATTATTGGAAGATATGGCTACTAGTTATGATCATGCTAAAGATTGGGTCAAAGATAATGTTGCTGAGTATTTAAAAGATAAAGGAGGTGTTGATATCAGGTTAGTGACCTCATATATTTTAATTTCCTATCATTAGTTTAATTAAATATGCTCTAAAAATATAAAGTTTTCATCTTTTTTTTTTTTTTTTTTTCAAACTAAGATTCAATTTTTATTAGATTTATCGTTCAAAAACTAAATTATGCTCTCAGAATCAAAGAGATCTGACCTCAATAGACATAAAACTTGTGTGAAAATAACTATGATTCTGGTTACGATGCATATTGGTTCAGGGTTTGGTTCTTCAATATTAAGTTTTTTCTTAGAATTTATTATTAATAATAATATTTATCTTGTTGATAAAAAAAATGGAAAAAAAAGAAAAATAACAAGAACAATTATGAATCCCAGACCAATCTCATACCGGTATAGGAGTACTCAGAAAAACCTAAAAACAATATTCAATTTTCTAAGTTACATGAAGGCAGAGCCTTTTATAATCTTTTGAAAGGAAATCTATCCCGTGTTTGAAATAAATTAATTCTACAATTATGAAATTTATTTATAAATTCAAATTTCTGTGTGTCGCATAAAAAAATGATGGATTTGAATAACTAAATAAAATTCTATAAAGAAAAGTGAATTTTCTAAATGAATTTTAAAAATTTAAACAACTCGTAACTTTACGACAAAATTCTGCATTTGTTAACCTTCTAAAATTATTATGTCAATGATATTTAAAAAAATAAAAGAAATTGAATTTTTAATTTTTGAATTTATTTCAAACATAAAAGTAAAATACATTTACAAATGAATTCTGTTAGAATCCATTTATTAATGAATTTTACATTTTGAATTCTACTGGTCTCAGTAAACATACAAGTTGGTATGAAAATACCTCTCATCTTTACTAACAATTTGGTAATAAAGTTATCCTTAGAGTTTCATTTTTAATGTATGTTTGAAACGTTATTGTTCTCTTTTTCATTAATCTTGATTTTTGGGTTGTCTTTATAGATATGTAGCTGTTGGTAATGAACCGTTCTTGAAGGCCTATGATGGTGAGTATCTTAAAACAACATTCCCAGCTTTAAAAAACATACAAAAAGCTCTTAATGAACACAAACTTGGAGACAAGATCAAAGCCACCATACCATTTAACGCAGATGTTTACGATGGAAACAAACCATCAGAGGGTAATTTTCGTAGTGATGTGAGAGATGTTATGCAAAAAATTGTCAAATTTCTCCATCAACATAAAGCTCCATTTGTTGTCAATATTTACCCTTTCATTAGCGTTTATCAATCCTCAGGCTTCCCTCTAGATTACGCATTCTTCGAAGGCAGTAGCAGAAAAGTAAGCGACAAAAACGTCAGTTACAGTAATGTTTTTGATGCAAATTATGACACTCTTGTCTGGTCATTAGAAAAAGCTGGAGTTCCTAATTTAGAAATTTTAGTTGGTGAAATTGGTTGGCCAACAGACGGTAGCCCGTATGCAAACACTCAGTATGCTGGAAGATTTTATGATGGTTTATTAAGAAGATTAGCTTCCAAGAAAGGAACCCCATTAAGGCCGGGTATAATAATTGTATATCTTTTTGGTTTACTTGATGAAGACATGAAAAGTATTGAACCAGGCAATTTTGAAAGGCACTGGGGTATTTATCGCTACGACGGGCAACCGAAATTCCCCATAGATTTATCAGGACAAGGTAAGAATAAAATGTTAGTTGCAGCAAAAGGAGTGCAATACTTGCCTAAACAATGGTGTGTTTTAAGTGAAGATGTTATTGATGCTAATAATAACTTGATACCGGCTGGGTTAACTTATGCTTGCTCTAGATCAGATTGTACAAGCTTAACTTATGGATCTTCTTGTGGAAGCATGCAGCTTAGGTCTAATGTTTCTTATGCTTTTAATATGTATTTTCAAATGAACGATCAAGATGTGGCTGCTTGTGATTTTAATGGGTTAGGTACTATTGTTACTCGTAATGCCTCTCAAGGCACTTGTCTTTTCCCTATTCAAATTGTTAGTGAAGGAGAGAGGGTTAAGTTGTTGCATGGAGGCAGCATTTCTTTTCTAGGATTATTTTTATTGTCCTTTTTTATATTATTGTAATATGGATAAGAATTATTCTTTATAATAATGAACTACTTTTCTTTTCTTTTCTTTTCTTTTCTTTTCTTTTCTTTTCTTAGATGAATGTTGATGTTATTTTATTACTTGTGTATAGAAGTGATAAAGCCTACAAACTTTGAAACCATTGCAGAAATTATTTGTTTTGAGAGTATATATATATATACACACACACATTTCATGTGTTATTGTTTAATCGTTCTTCCAATCATCACACAAGTTAATAAGTTATCAAGTATATGTTTTTTCCATAATTTGTGTAACTTTTATAGGGGAATTGAAGTTAATTTGAATTCCTTCTGTATACAATATTGGTGATATTATTTGATGGGGTAGAATCAAGAAAGGGGAATGAGATATTTCAGTTGTACGGTCTCAAATCTATTGGAACTTCAAAAGTTAATGTCAAATACACAAGAAAAGAAAAAAATAATGATGACATTTACGTGATTTGTACATACTCTTATTATTATTATTCATTGATATAATTACATTATTAAGAACTTACAAATTCATACATTCTCAAACACATTCAAATATAATAAATTATCTATTATCTTAACACCAACTTTTATAAGAAAATTGAAGAGGAACGATAAGAATGGTATAAATTCATTGTTCTGGTTAACAAATAAATAATCATCTCCATTTTACCTTGTTTTGATGATTATTATCTAATTTATTTAATATATTTGCTATAAGCATTTAATAAATAAGCCATCTTAGCTCAGTGGTAGAGCGCGTGGCTTTTAACCACGTGGTCGTGGGTTCGATCCCCACAGACGGCGTTTTCTATATACCATTCATTGTTTTAATCTGTAAAAATTAATTTATTCTTTTTTTACTCTTGACTCGTTAAAACATTAATAAAAATTGAATAATCACAAGGATTATCATAGGAAATTTAAAAACCTTATAAACATTTGGGATCCAGAAAAAAAAAAACCACTCTTAACTCATTAAGATATTAATAAAAATTATTCATTTAATGAATAATCACAAGGATTATCATAGGAAATTTAAAAACCTTATAAACATTTGGGATCCAGAAAAAAAAAAACCACTCTTAACTCATTAAGATATTAATAAAACCATTTAACTAAATAAGCCATCGTTAGCTTCAGTGGGTAGAGCGCGTGGCTTTTTAACCAACGTGGTCGTGGGTTCGATCCCCACAGACGTGGCGTTTTTCTTAATATAACCATTCATTGTTTTAAATCCTGTACAAATATCAATTTATTCTTTTTTTAACTCTTGACTCGTTAAAACATTAATAAAAATTGAATAATCCACAAGGATTAATCATAGGAAATTTAAAACTTACTTATAAACATAAGTTGGGATCTTCAGAAAAAAAAACCGACTCTTAACTCTATCTCAGATATTAGTAAAATTATTCATTTATGTTTAAATGAATAATAATCACAAGGATTATCATAGGAAATTTAAAAACCTTATAAACATTTGGGATCCAGAAAAAAAAAAACCACTCTTAACTCATTAAGATATTAATAAAAATTATTCATTTAATGAATAATCACAAGGATTATCATAGGAAATTTAAGAACCTTATAAATATTCCATAAAAAAAAAACAGCAAACAAAATAGGATGGAAGGAGTATATTTTTTTTTATTTCATTGAGTTTTTTTTTTATATAAAATCTTTATTAAATTAAAAATAAATGAACTTTTTTATTTTGTTTTTTATATTCATTAAATGAGCTCTTTTTATATTTTATTTTATTATTTAAAATTTTATATACATAATTTTATTTATATTATAGTGATATTGTTTGTTTATAATATAATGATATTTTCGTTACATACTTTTGACTTAATTTTAATTTATTACTAAATTTTTTCGTAGACATAATTTTTTATCCGTGATAACGATATTGTTGTTTTTTCCTTATTGACTTAAATATTTATCAATTTAATTAATATATTTTTAATTTTAATATTTATTCTTTTCTTAATATTGAGTTAAAACCAATATTCTTAATTTGTCTAAATTGAAATTTTAAATAAGATTCCTCACAAAACTGTCATATTAAGTTCTATAAATACAAAATATCATAATATAAATATGATATTTTTTCTTTTCAATGTTTTGTTTCTTTGGCCTTTATTTATATCAATTCTGCTCGTGGCTAGCTTTATCTGTTTATTTATTTTTTAATCATATCATAATAAAAGTGATAAGTAATAGAATTTTATTAAAGGGGAAAATAATATTTAACTTATGATATTTGAGTTCAATATTTTATTTTTAAAATCGGAGAATTTAATTGAAAATTCTTGGGTCACAGATGTGTCCCTTGTGAAATAAATAAATAATAAATAATCAAATTTTAGGAAAGTCACTAAATGAAAGCTATATAAATAAATATATTTCAAGTGTGTGTTTGTGAATTCTTATTGTTGCGTAATTTTCAGATTGAAACATATTTTCACTGATCAAGCTTAAGCCAAATCCGTTGAGCTTAAATTCGCCTTGATTTATAATTAATGAATTAAATTCAAACTGAATCTGAGTTTATATATTTTTAATTCGAACTATGAATAGACATGGCCATATTACGGTTCTGGGAATCGGAACCGTCGGTTCGAACCGACCGGAACCGTAACCAGAACCGGAGAGAACCGGAATCGGGCTGAACCGGAACCGGAACCAAAAAATTTCGGTTAGGTTCCGGTTCCAAATTTTCTGGAACCGAAACCGGCGGTTTCAGAGAACCAGCCGGAACTGGATTGGAACCGCCAGTTCTCCGGTCGGTTCGAACCGGCGGTTCTAGCCGTTGTAAACTGTCATACTTTTTTTTTTTTTTTTTTTTTTTTTACTGACAATGATGACTACGAAAAAGCTGCTACTTTTACGGATGAACAAAATAGCTCATCCTGTCGGATTGGAGCGAGTGGACTTCTATCTGAAACTATATAATAATATAGTATCTATATATTTTTCTTTTTTCTTTTTTTTGCTTTTACAATGTTTTTTATTTCCTCATACTTATTATTTGTTTATTTGTTTTAATATATCTACGCCCAGTATAGAAACTAGCATTAGTGACTGTTTCTGTTCAGGAATGGTTCCACACAATCAACTTGAACACAGTGTACGGTAAGCAAAAAAACGCAAATGGACCGAATTCCATTCGAAAATTTCAGTTCAGTTAATGAATGTTAGACTATTAAGTTTTTGCGTTTCAATTTATGTATCGCAAACAACGTCATATTACTCATAAAATGGAACGCAAATAGGTGCATTTATTCGGATTCTGTAATACTCTTAAAATTGTGATTCTTCATATATATAAAAAATCAGATGAACAGACAAATGTTAAATTTATTTTTGAAGAAAATACCGTGAAGTATTTTCCTGAAAATTTATGTCAAGTCCTAAAAAAATAAATTAATTGAGTATTTACATTATTTTAGGTGTATTTTTTAAAAATTTTCTTTAGGTGTATTTTTTAATTTTTTATGTTCAAATAATTTTTTTTTAAACCGGTCTTCAAAATTTAAAATTATGCGATTCGCCGAAAAATCGATCGGAATCGTCGGTTTCGTAACCGGATCGGAACCGGAACCGAAACCGAAACCGGAACCGGACGGTTCTAAACCGGAACCGGACGGTTCTAAACCGGAACCAAAACCGGATCTTTTCGGTTCAGTTCCGATTCCAATTTTTTTTGGAACCGGAACCGCCGGTTCCGGAACCGTGGCCATGACTAACTATGAATTTATATTTAGCTCAAGTGAGCCGATTTCAAATAATTTATTATCGAATCTACATATTTTTTAATCATCGGAACTCTAAGCTTGAATTCAGCTCGAGCTAAGCCCGATGTCAAATATTTTATTATCCAGCTCAGCAGTTCTCATTTGGCTCGGCTCGGCTCGTTCATAGCCATACAATCTCGGTTTCTGGTTGCCTTTTATGTTATATCAAAATTTTCTTACTAGCCGTTTCACAAACAACCCGCTCTGTATACACATACTTATGCTGACAACGTAACAGTCCCCTCCCTACTCGGCTACTCCCTCCATTTTCTTTTTGTCTTTAGCTTTTGGCCTAAGACAGTTGCCTCAGTAGCCACCGCCCACCGCCTCCTGCCTCCAGGCCTTGCAGTTGCAGCTCTCCCCTGCCCGCTAACAACTTTATATCCGAGTGACGGGTGCATAATTCTCTGCAAATGCAATATTACGTGATCTTGTTGCCATTTTTGTGATCGGTTTCAAGTTCTGTAGTGAGGAATGAATGTTGGTTTGTTTGAGGCAAATTTTGTTTTGTAATTGCAGGCTAAATTAATACTCAAAGTTAACTTGTAGTGTAGATTCTATTATGGCTAATTGGAGTCTTGATGAGCAATGCTCTGTATTATATACCTTAGGTTTTATGCACACCATTTGTTCGATGAATGGCGTGTGAGAAAAATTGATACAGCAGAGTGAAAAAAGTAATGGCAAACAGCAAATACGAGTACGTGAAATCATTTGAGGTTGAAGATGAGATTATGTTCCCTAACCTCATTGTTGTTCAAATTGATGGCCGCCACTTTAGAAGGTAAGCTAAAACCTTTTGGAATTCTTTACTAACTAATCTTTTAGGCCTTGTTTGGTTTATGAAATAACAGGAATAGGTAGGGAACAGATTAGCTCTTAGCTTTGGTCTAAATTTAGGTGTGGAATAATTTTTCTATGAAATAACTTTCTCAAATTTTGCTTGAAGTTTCAAGTATGTAATACAAAATCATTAAACGTAAATTGTATAAAAAGTGAATTCCCTTTTTCTATTCCATTTCACAAACCGAACAAGGCATTAGTTATTTTGAACATGTTTAACATTTTGTTTTTGCTTTGAAAAGATTCTCTGAGGTCCATGAATTTGAGAGGCCAAACGACGAGAAAGCCTTGAATTTGATGAACGCATGTGCAACTTTTATTCTAGAAGAGTATCCTGACATTGTCTTCTCCTATGGCTTCAGCGACAAATATAGGTGCTTATATTTTCATTTGTTTTTGTTCATTGTTGAATTATCTCCTCCTTCGTAATCTGGCATCATTTGCTTGTCTAAGTGATAATCTTTATTTATATTAACTGCAGTTTTGTTTTCAAGAAGACAACAAGGTTCTACCAAAGGCGAGCAAGGTTTATATTCTTTCTCTTTTTGGTGTATGATGTGTGTCTTTATTTTTTTTTTCATAGAGGTTAAGAGCTATTTTTCTTGTGTCTACTAACATGGAGGGAACTAATCTTTTTATTGTTTTGAGCTATAAAATCTTGTGGTAATTGCATTCTTCTATCGTTAAATGCCTACAGTAAAGCGCATTAATCATTTGTATTTTTATTTTTAAAAAAAAGAAATGATAAGAAGAGAAAATAAAATAGATCGAAAATCATATCTCTAACAGATTCTTTCCTCCTTTTAACCTTGTATCTGATCATCTTTAATTGCTGATTCCTCTTTCAATATTATTACTACTACTTTGTACTCAATATTCATCTTTGAAATACACAATCAGTTTTGGCATGTAATTACTTTATGAAGTGCGACAGAGATCCAAACTAAAGTTAAATTATACATAACGTCAATCTCTAAGTTACTTCTATCAGGGGAACACTAAGCTCAATGATTAGAATAAGTATATTCGAATTAATTTTGTAAGTTGTAGTTTGTTTGAATAACTTGAGAACAGATTTTTTTTTTTTATTCTAGTCCCTAACGGGCTATATATTGCATTGTACGCGGTTATTGGGCAGATATTCATTTGAAACTCCCCTGGTCTGCTTATTTTTTCCTCAAATTTGTTTATATGGATGTAGAAATTTTTGTTTTCTTGTTCTGCACTTTGAATGTGGCAGCAAAATTAGTGTCCTGGTATTGTCATTCTCTTTCCTTCCACTTGCACCAAATGGAGAAGAGTCTTCCTGCAAAAAGGATGAAATACCCCTCATCCATGGGTCGGGTTTAAGTGCTTTGCTGCATAATATTTTTTTTTTTTTTTTTTTTTTTTTTTTTTTTTTTTTTTGTCTCACAGGCCATGTTAATAACCAGCATAATACTTGTTTTTGGAAGCTGGTTGAAAGTGGGAAGACTGAAATGGAAGCACAAGCAATTTTAAAGGCAGTTTTTTCTCAGTCTCCATATCATCTTTTAATGTCCTAATCTATTTGCAATATGTACACACAAATAATCACCTATATGTACATATGTATATGCAAACGTTTTCTACTTTATGTTAACTCTTATATTGAGTTCTGAACATGTTCTCTTTCAACTTCTAGTCTCATTTTTATGTCTCTCTTTTTACTTTTCTCCCCCTTCCTGTCACTCTTTCATTCTTATGAACTTTTCTTTTGGCGTTTATGTTATCCTCTTCTATTTTGATTTATTTGCTTTTTAAATTCATCTTCAAATATCATTTTCGTTTCCTAATCATGCATATAATATGCATTTTAATCATACATATTTCTCCCTGAATTCATTTTCAATTTTCTGCAGGGCACTCAAAAGCAAGAGAAAAATGAACTACTCTTTCAACAGTTTGGTGTTAACTATAAAAAACTACCTGAGATGTTCCGTCAAGGATCTTGTGTTTTCATGACACAGGTTATTTCCATTCTCTTCCGAGAATAACTATGTTTTTCATATTTTCAATATTTCATTTACACGTTGGCATAGGAAAAATTGGATATTCTATTGTTCATTTATATATTTTCCTAAGGACTACATGTTCTTATTCAGTCTTCCTAGATGATATTGAGTAGAGGGATGGAATCTTGCTATCAACTTGGATATAGTTCGATAATCTCCATCTTATATGAATTGATGACCTATTTTAATTGCTAGTTCATTTGATAAATGCTTTTGGTCTATCTTGCATATTTCTTATAATTTTGTAAGCCAAGACCTCTTTTGGAACACTACAGGAGGAAGATATTGCAAAATATAGTGAGGATGGTACCCCTGTAAAAAGATTTCGGAGAAAGGGAAAAATAGTCCATTCAGAGAACATTGCTGGGAGAAACTTTTGGAATGGGCACCAAAGTCTTGTCAATGCTCTGGGTGGTTTTGCAGTAGACCTTGGCAAAATTAGCCCTGATTATATTAGGTCTTTCCTATTTGAAAGCAAATTGATGCCATCTACTTGGATTGTGATTAGAATTGATGGATGCCACTTTCACAGGTAAGTTAAGCAATATTATTCTTTAATTTTATTGAGCAATTCTTTCTTGCCACTAGGCTCAGTGCAGTCCAAGTGTGGCTTTCCTGAAATAAGTGAAAATCATTTACACCTAATTCTTTTATTTAATTTATAGCTTAGGAAAATGCAACCCCTTGATTAAGTTGATTCACTTTATGGATTGACAATCTAAGTCTCGGGGATAAGTTTCATGTACTCTGCTTCTTGCTCTTGCATTGGGTGCAAATTGTAATGCAACTTCAAAGTAGTAATAAGTTTCATATTTTGAGACCCTTCAATTTCAAAATTAGACGTCAGTTTTGAGTCAATGCATGACTAAGAAATTGAAATAAAATTAGAAGAAAAAATTGGAGAGGGGCATAATTATTTTTCCTATGTGTTACAATTAACTGTAAACTCCATAGACCTTATTATCAGGTCTCTGATACTTGAAACTTTCTTCTGTTGCTAGCCTGCCAATAACTAATTCAGTTTTGTTGCTTGAGGTAGATTCTGTGAAGTTCATGAATTTGAGAAGCCCAATGATGAGCGAGCTCTGAATCTTATGAATTCTTGTGCAGTAGCTGTTTTGCAAGAGTTTCAAGATGTTATTTTTTCTTATGGTGTCAGTGATGAGTACAGGTGCTAGATTTGTGATTTGTAATCTTTAATTTGAGGGATCAAGTTTATGTTCGAAAGATTTCTATGTCGGTGTTCTCATTTTTGGTTGCTTTATTTTCAGCTTTGTTTTGAAGAAAGATTCTAAATTTTGTCAGAGGCAAGCTAGGTATATCTTATGTTCCATGAGCTTATTTATGCTTCTTTTTTTTTTCCTGTTGGTGTGTTGCTTGAGCTCTGCTTTGCAAGTCATCATCCTGACATTTATTTTGGATCAGTACATTCATTCTCTATATCGCTTGTGCAGTAACATTGTTTCTGTCATCGTTTCATTCTTCTCCTCAACATATGTCATGAATTGGAAATCTTTCTTCCAACAGAAAGAACTGAAGTATCCACCCTCTTTTGATGGAAGGGCTATATGCTATCCATCAACTGAGATTCTTCGAGATTATCTGTCTTGGAGACAAGTTGATTGTGAGTAGTCTTTGCTAAATTTATTAATTTCTGGAAGTGTTCTAACTAGAATTTTTCAAACTGTAACACATTTGTTTTTATTGATTGGTTGGTATTTGAATGGTCCATTTCCAGCACTGGACCTTGAGTTTCAAGCTTTCTAGCATTTTTTTAGTTATATTTTTTAACATGATTGAAAGCACAACATCAGTGCTGTAATCTTCCATTGGCTGTGGTGTTTTAGGTCACATCAACAATCAATACAATACTTGTTTTTGGGCACTCGTTAAATCTGGGAAAAGCAAAAGTGAGGCTCAACATATTTTAAAGGTCTTACATCTCTCTTCTCTCTCTCTCTTTCCGTATAAAAAATTTTATTGTTCCTATTTTGACGCTTGTTAACCATATTTTGGCGTGGAAGTTTACTGTGTCATGGCTAAATAAGTCAGCACTCAATTTTATTTCACAACTTCTACAGGGTACTCAAACCCGAGAGAAAAATGAGATACTTGCTCAATTTGGTATTGACTACAACTCATCATCAGTCATTTTCCGCCAAGGTTCCTCTGTTTTCAGGGTAAAAGGTTTTTCTTCCTCAATATAGTATACCTTTGTGATAAATTATATGCTGCCAATAATTAGTTCCATCAACGCATAACACTATATTTTATATTTGAAAATTGGCTTGGAGAGAATATCTGTAATTCTTAAGTTTGCTTGGTAGTTGAGATCATCACAAACAAATAGGAAAATAATATATCGCACCTTGAAGTACCACCCAAAGGTGAATCCACAACATGTACCCCCTTCTGCAAACTAGCATGTATTCACCTTTTGCATATCATCCTTAGTTATGGCACTGTGCTTCCTTCTATGGGTGGTCTGCCTGCAGTCTGTTACTATAATCTGTTACATTCTTTTATCATACTTTCCAATTATTCTTCTCCATCTCCAACACTCATCCCTGCCACCCTGCATTTTCCTCCTCATTCAAAATGATAAAAGAGGACTACAGTGGGAATTCCTTGCTGATCAATTGGAGTAATCGAGTTTTTATATATTCCTGCCAATTTGTCCTTTATTCAAAATTCAAACACTATGTTATTTGAAAGATTGTAGTATTATTTTGCCTTCGTTTTCAATAAGGATGATTTTCAATGGCTCATAAAGCCAACTGCAAGAAACCAGAGGACAGTATATTTTTCGTGCATAGCAAGTTGATGTTTATTGTAAAATTTGACGTGTTTCTCATATTTCAAAAGAGGGTTAAAAGTGATTCTTCACCTTTGACTATTTTATTGTTGCTATGAGTAACATTACTTGCTATTTTATTTGCAGAAGCTAAGATTTTGTTTTGTATGCAGGAGGAGGGTATTTTGATACAAGAGGATGGAGAATCTACTGAAAAACTTGGGAATAAGGTAACAGTAGAACATTGCAACATAATTGAGCAGAGTTTTTGGAAAGCACACCCTACCATCCTCGCTTGAAAGTCCTACATACAAGGTGTAACATCTTGGACCTAGCAAGATATTGTCCACTTTGAGCGCAGCCTGCACAAGTTTGTTCCTGGGTCAGAGCCTCACTTCTAATCCAAAAAATGTCTTGCTAGTTTAAAGCTTGCTCTTTTGTTACGTACATCACTTCCATATTATGATTGGCCGATGTAGGATTTGCCTAAAGGCAAGCAAACATCTCAAGTTAGCACCTTATCGGTATGGATTTTACACAAGGAGTAACGAACTCCTTCACTTGTCATTTATTTACTTGGATTGGTTGTTTATAAATATTTGCCATATGTGCACATTCATCAATTTTGCCGAATAGAAGCCATTATTAGACCTTTTGCAGAGGTCGTTTTTATTTTTGGGAATGCTAAGGAATGAAAAGTAAGCGGTTTGCCTCAATGACATTAATTTAACCCAAGTATGGAAAACTATTACCATATGTATTGTTAATTGTTTGCTAAACTGATTTAGGCTGCCTGAAGGTGCCAAAAAGAATATTGAAAATGTTTTTTGGGATAAAAGAGAATTAAAAGCTAGTTGGCGATCCAGTAGTAACAATGACTTTGTAAGAATTTGATATCTAATTGGAAAAACAGCAATCAAAAGAAAAAAGAACGAAACAATCGCATAAGTGCAATTTTTAACTAACAAGCTGGTGTGTAACTCCAATTTTAACTAACAAAATGGTGCTAACTCCAATTCAATGGGGAGGCATCATATTTCTTTTCTTGTAGCCGCAGCCAGCATTAGCATCATAAGTTGTGTAGTTTGATAGAGGGTCATCTCTAGCGATTAAAAATTTTTAGCAACAATGTGAAAAACGAGAAGATTTGAGTTTGAATCCTCTTAATAATAAAAGTTTTTACACATTTGACGAGTTCAGATGACACCTTTCAATTATTGTGAAGTCCACAATAAACTTGAACCACAAGATGCATGAAATATTGCATATTTTGAAAAAATATCTAGTAATAGAAAAATATAGAAAATTATGTTTAATACAATAAATTGTTTTAAAAGATGCATGAAGTATTGCATTTACTCAATATATGTCTATAATTAAAAAATTATATTTAATAAGTGTAATTTTACAAGTTGAAATGTCGACCATATGTAATTTATTTTACTAATTAAAGAATTTAATTAGCCAGCCTAAAAGTTGATGATTTTCTAGTGAAAATTCAGATATCAATTTATATATTGAGAATATGATAAACACTGGTAGCATATTGTACTCCAATCTACTTTTAGAACTATAACAATCTTTAGATTGAGAGATGTAAGCTCTTGACAGAATAAAGAAAAATAATTTCTTCAAACAGAAAAAGTTTTTGCATTATAGTTAATCCTTAAATTGTTTACTATACCCTTATTAAATTTTATTTTATTTTCAATAACCCTCATTAATTCTTACTTATTATTCCATATAATAATTGGTCATGCATTATTTAAGATGAACATAATAAAAAAGTTATATGAATAAAATTGTCCTTTAACCATAATAACTGTTATTTCTTAATCTGTATGAAAATAGAGGGTGAACTATCTTTTTAGAACGGAAAGTATAAACAATATAATGCATTTTACACAATCTTTGAAATGACTAATTAATCAAAGTTTATAAGCCCAATCTAATTGCTATTAAATCTTTCGAGTCTCAGTTTAAAGCATTCACCTGTATTCACAAAGCTGTGCATTTCCAGTTCTCAGCTTTAACTTCAATTTTAGAATGCAAACTGGAGCCTTCTGGGATTCCCAGTGGAGGATCTTGGCATGAACAATTATCAACTGTAAAAAGCTCCCACTCTTTAATCCCACACTTCGCCAATGCAGAAACCAGTCTGTTCTTTTCCTTCTCATTTGGGTACATTCCATCTGCACTAACAAGCACAGCCCCTGTATATGACTGTCCAGCAACTCGAGCAGCGCCAGTGTAATGAAACAAGCCCCAACTAAAATCATCAGACACATCCACAATTGTCCAAAACTCATTTGAAACAACTCCATTATCTAATACACTAAAGTAAAACGTTCCGGGAGTTTTTCCTCTCTTGACTCGATATTTTCGTCTCCTCCAAACCATTTCCCCCTCTAGTGTTTGAACCTGGAAAACTGGCTCATACCAAAATGATCCTTTTGCTTTCCCCCTATAGAACAACTGGTACTGGCACGGGAATTGATCGTAAGCTGGGTTTTGCCCTGCCACAACTCTCCAACTCCAACCAAGATCCCCTAACCAACCCACAAAAAGATCCTCAGCTTTTTCATGGCACAAGTCTTCTCCCTGAAACTTAACCAACGGAGGCACGTAAGGCTTTTCTGGGATTTTTGCATCTAATTCAAGACAATTGTTCTTCTGCAACACACATAGAGAAAACGCCTCTAGGTTTGGACTTTCATAAGAAGCAATACACCGATAATTACAAACTTGATCAACTGGACTACAGTTGTTCAAACATTGCAGAGCTTTCCTGCATTTAGGATCTAATAGGCAGTTTAGTATCTGTGGCCCGCAGTTCCTAACCATGCAATTCAAGGTGGAAAAACCTTTTGACCTTAGGTTCTTCAAAATTGGCACTGGTCTAATATATGCATTGATTATAACCAACAAACAAAACCTAATATCATCTGAATTATGCCGGTCCCATGCTTCCCATACAGTTTTCACTACTTCCATTGATTCCTTGATTTTCTTAGACCGAGAAACTCCAATAATTTTTCCAAATAAAGTCCCATTAGTTTCATTCTGAATGTAATATCCTCCTAGTTTGTTTGCAAGATTCGGAGATGAGTCGAAGCAGATTATGTTTTGAACACTTTTGCTATTGGATTGGATCCACTTGACTGATTCTTGATTTGAAATGGCAACTATCAGTAATATATCTGCACGGCTCAATTCCTTTTGCAGAGCTTCAGTTTGATTATTAGATTGGCATAGGTTATCAGTGAACACAAGCATGTCATACCCTTCATCTACCCATTTTAACCTTTTTGCCTGCTTCCACAACATTAAATTACTAAAAAAGGTCCCATTCCAAATAATTAATCTTTAGAAAATCAAATTTGATTTAATTAGAGCATTATAAAATTTTAATCAAAATAGAAAACTGGATTTCTTGTTTGCCAAATAAGAAAATGAAAGAACTAATGAGTTTTAGCTCAATGGTGCTAAATAATCTGTGGAGCTAAGAGATCTCAAGTTTGAATCTCAGTAGAAGCCAAATTAACCACAATAAAAAGTAATAAGAAGAAATAAAATCCTATTATTCTTGTTTCATTTCTACTGGAAAAAAGGAAAAAGAAAAGTTGTTATAGTCTCTCAAAAACTACAAGCATTTTCTCTAAATCAAATCAAGAAAAACATTCAATCCCTCTGTACAATAAACCTATTTAACAAAAGCCAAAAATAACGGCACAATTTCCACATAAAGATAAAAGAAGGAGAGCTCATCTTTAACAATTGCCCTCTGCAAATTGTAATCAAAAACAAAAAAACCAAAAAATACTGCTCTACAAATTTTGTTTAAGCATATTTTATGAAGATTTTGAACAAACAATATAATTCAAACAGTCAGTTGATACTTGAATACTTACAGTATGGAGCATGACCTCCTCCCAAGTGGCGCATTTTAAAGGGCTGATGCTTCCTTTCCCGACGAGGGCCACAATTCTCACCGGTGAATCGGATTGGTTCTCCGTAGCCACACTTGCCGTCTCCAAAACAGCGGGAATGTTAGTTTCTTGACGGTTAACAGTTTTGGCGCGAAAAGGAAATGACAGTTGCATCGGAGCTGGATACCGGCGGTGGTTAGCCGGAGGAAAAGGGTGCATCGACGCAATGAACCGGCGGTTCAGCAAAAAACCGGATTTCAGATTGAGAGGTGGTGTTGTTTCCAGAGACATGGATAGGTGATAGCTGTCTAAAGTCCAGACTACCGAATGTTGTAGACTGATGATGTTACTTCGCACGGCTTAAAACATGACCAGAAACTGTAAAACTAGTTACGTGTCACATCTTATAATAACAACAGTTAAAAAAAACCTAGTCAATCTCATTTAGATTATTTAGATTTAATAGGTAAATTCGAGTTTCGAAAATGGCAAAAATATAATATATATTTTTTAAACTATTTCAAAGGTGAGTATCTTGTTTGAAAATGTGATTGAAAAAAAAGGATAAAGTGCCATTTAGTCCCTGGATTTAGTCGAATTAACTGTTTCGTCCCTCTATTTTGGAGAACCAATTAAAAAAATCCACGCTATTTATTTCCGTCAAAGGAAATGGTTCTTCCGTCACAGGTATACTACTTTTCGTTAATTTTTAATAAAAAGACAAATATATTCTTTAAGACAAATATAATTACTCACATTACCCATTTGTTTCCTCTCTCACATATTGTGCTTTCTCCTTCCTTTCTCCATCCTTTATAATACAACGCCCTCTTTTCCTTCTCCATTTGCATTCTATCTTCTGCTGCTGACACTACCATAATCTCTACTCACATCCATTCATTCATTTCTCTCTCTCCGCATCAGATCCCTTTCTGACATCGCCACTGCCAAACCTAAACCAAATTTTCACAGATGAAAAATATTCTTAATTTTTGAGATGAAACAAAGCGTAATCAACAATAGATTATGGAATATCCAGAGTAATCGAAGGATTTGAGATAGTATATTTCATTATTGAATGGCGTCTGCTTGTGATAGATCTTTTAAGACAGTAAGCAAACCTTTTCCTCAGTGGCTCTTGCGCTGTTTTTGCTAGGACTGGCCTAAAAATGTATTGGCCAAATACTAGATGCCAAGTTTGGAGCTTCTGTGAATGGTCCTCTTTGGCTCGTGCAATTCTGGGCACGAGCATACTTCCCTGGGATTGCTGGGTTTTTGTTTTTTTTTTTTTTTTATTTAAATTTTATCTTTTAATTGTTGTTCAATTATGCTTCAAGGAAAATAATAAAATTTTGGCATTAGTTTGACTATTCTTTCGTGACTCTGTTCCTCCGTTTAATGATTTATAAGTTCTATTTTCATTTTAGATAATATTCAAGTAATTTGTCTAATTAAACTCACTGAATCTATTTCTTTTTTTCAAATTTCGTTTGTGTTAATATTAAATTTATGCATGTGTTTCTACAAAGATGGATCGCTCGACTTTTTACTTAATAGATTTAAGTTCTTTCCACTCAGACCAACTAATCGTCTTTGTTCAAGGTTAAGTTTCTTTTTTATACAACTATAAAACAATATAAGGATATTGTACTAAATGTCAATTTTTGAAACTTAATTTTAATAAAATGTCAGTTTGATTTTGAGATTTAAATTGTTGTCATTTATAATATGTTTTTACGGCCTAACCATCAATTTCACCTTGAACTTTTCGAGTAGTTGCAACTTTACCCTAAATCGATCTTTGTACTCTGAGTATCCTAAACTTATTAACCTAGTTGTAATTACACTCTAATTTGCTTTTAGGGTGCAGTTACACCCCAAAAGTAAAATAGAGTACTATAAACTTATCGATTCGTCGCAAGGTTACCCTAAAAACAAATTAAGGTTGGAATTATAAATTAAAATAATATAAAAATTGACTTCATAAACAATCCAAACTTAAGTTAAATGTAATACATAACATTTGAATTAAAAGAAAGAATTTATCATTTTGTCTCTTCTATCCTTCAACTTATTATTTTTCTCCCGCTCATAAAACATTAAATAATGGCTACAACAATAGTGATAAAAGAATTATCATATTTGTTTCGTCTTACCTTGAATTAGTATCCAACTCATTATTTTTGCATCTTAAAATTGGTTAAAGATATAATCTTGATTTTTTTTATTTATTATACGAATAATTGGGTTTGATTTTATTATTTATTGTTTAAATATTTAGATTGGTTATGGAGTCAATTTTTTTTACGTTGTTTTAATTAAAATTCCAACCTTATTACTTTTAGGTGCAACTGGAACAAATCGACAAGTTTAAAGTATTATAATTTATTTTTAGGGTCAATTGCACCCTAAAAGTAAATTAGTATGTAATTGCAACTAGTTTGATAAGTTTAGGGTGCTTATGGTACAAAGGTTGATTTAAAGTAAAATTGCAACTGCTGGAAATATTGAGGGTGAAATTGAAGGTTAGGCCATATTTTTACTATTTTGTCCTTTTTATTGATAAGGCATTAGTTTATTAATATTTCAGTTTCTTAATACGTTTTCCTTTTGTATTAATTTCCTATTTTCACTATTATTTACTTTTTTCACTATTATTTACTTTTTTTTTCAGTTTGTTAATATTTTTCTGTTGCCTTTTTTTTTCAGTTTGTTAATATTTTTCTGTTGCTTTTTTATTGTTCAGCCCTCATTATTTACTTTTCGTTCTTTCTCCTTTTGGTGTCGTCCATTATTTTTTTTATCATTTTTTATCATTTTGCTGTCGTTCTTTTCATTATAGGTATTGTTCTACGGTTTCATTTTTTATTTCATAAGCTATGTTGATTTTTATTTTTGATATGTTGTTTATCATTAGAAATATCTCTATCAGTTTTCTATACAGTCATATACTCACAGAATTGATATATGTTTTTATTGGATTGATACTGATACAATATATATATACACTGTATTTACTTTATTTGATTCAACGTGTTAATTGATGTGTGTATGTGTGTGTATATATATCTATCTATTATGTATTTAATTGATTTTACAATATTTACTGATACAGCATATATATACTGTATATATCAAATATATCGTACTTACCGTCGTCGCAGGTCGTCAATTGTCGTCACTAGTCGTCATCGTCATAGTTGAATCAAATAAGCTATATAGGAATTTGCTCTTACAGATTTCGTGTTTCCTTATCTTTCCTTGTATTTCTTTTTTTTTTTTATTGTTTCCTTTTTTCAGCATTTTCTTTTTTTTTTTCGGTGTTTCCTTTTTTCAGCATTTCATTTTTTTTAGTATTTCATTTTTTCAGTGTTTTCCATTTCTCTTGCAAGGTCAGTTTTTGTATTTTTTTTTTTTTTAAAAGATTAAAATCTCATTATTTAAGAGAAAAAATCCAACATAAAATGGGGAGTACTATCCCAAATGACATGGCGAGCATGACGATAGGCAGCTCTAGCTAGAGTATGAGCTCCTATATTAGCTTGCCTACGAACCCAACGGACCTCAAAATCAGGGCGAAGTCCTAGTAAATAGAGACAATCTGAAATTACAAGACCAAAAAAAGAATCTGGAGCACTAGAGTTGAGAGCAAAAATAACAAGTTGCGAGTCCACATAAAAACATCCTGGATTGTGGAAGAAGTGCACAGCAAAAAGTAGGCCTTGACGAAGAGCAATCGCCTCAACTATGGCCGAGTCCGGTGTACCTTCATAGTAACCTGAAATAGCTTTAAAAAAAATACCTTCATCATCTTCAAATGTAGAAATAGCTTTAAAAAAAATACCTTCATCATCTTCAAATGTAATACCATATCCAGACTCTTTTGATGCAGCAAAAATGGCGCCATCTGTATGTCCATGCCAATTTTTTGCGTGAGTAGGATCTGGCAAATTGATGACTAGACTTGGGCTTTGGAGAGTGGTGGGGACTTGTGCTAGTGTTGGTGTAGACAAAGTTGATGCAGAGGGAAGGTGAATCATTACTGCACTGTTTGACCCTTTGAACTTTAGATTGCTACTAGGATTGGGCTGGTGTATCAAACCCACTTGAGTATGCCTCTGAGCTGTAGTGAAATTTTGTCCAGTTTTTGTATTATTGAAATTTTTTTGACTGAATTTGTTATTATTATTTTAATAAGTATTCTTTCCAGACGTTTTGTTAAAATTGAAACTTCATTATGACATTTGTTAAATTGTCCCAACAATATAATGCATTTTTCACGATACTTTGAAATGACTAATTAATCAAAGTTTATAAGCCCAATCGAATTGCCATTAAATCTTTTTAAGTCTCAGTTTAAAACATTCACCTGTATTCACAAAGCCGTGCAGTTCCAGTTCTCAGCTTTAACTACAATCTTAGAGTGCAAAGTGGAGCCTTCTGGGATTCCTAGTGGAGGATCTTGGCATGAACAATTATCAACTGTCTAAAGTTCCCATTCTTTAATCCCACACTTCTCCAGTGCAGAAACCATTGGCTTATTCTCCTTCCCATTTGGATCCATTCCATCTGGACTAACAAGCACAGCCCCTGTATATGACTGTCCAACAACTCGAGCAGCACCACTATAATGAAACAAGCCCCAGCTAAAATCATCAGACACATCCACAATTGTCCAAAACTTATTTGAAACAACTCCATTATCTAATACACTGTCGTGAAACGTTCCAGGAACTTTTCCTCTCTTGACTCGATATTTTTGTCTCCTCCAAACCATTTTCCCCTCTAATGTTTGAACCTGGAAAACTGGCTCATACCAAAATGATCCTTTTGCCTTCTCCCTATAGAACATTAAATTACTAAAGGTGCCATTCCAAATAAGTTAATTTTTTAGAAAATCAATTTTAATTTAATGAGAGTATTAAAAAATTTTAATCAAAATAGTTGTACCATAATTAGAGTTATTCAAACATTAAGAAATTGTAAAAAAAGAAAATTGGATTTCTCGTTTGCCAAAGAAGAAAATAAAATAACTAATGAGTTTCCTATTAATGGTACTAAGTTGTCTATGGGAATGAGATCTCTCGAGTTTGAATCTCAATAGAAGCCAAATTAATCCAAAATAAAAAACAATAAAAAGAAATAAAATCATATTTCTGAATAAACACTCCTGTTTCATCTCTACTGGAAAAAAAAAAGGAAATAAAGGGAAACTTATAATTGTACCCTTATATTTTATCCAAATCAACTACTTTACACTTATATTTTTTAAATAGACTACAATGCCCTCGTGTTTTCAGTTTGTTAAAGAGTGTCCCCTTCTGTTCATTTTATACACTTTCAGACGTTAAATTGTTATGAAATAACTTTAATGACCATAATTAAAAGATAAAATCATTTTTCTTTTAAAATCAAATTTATGTCTTGTCGGAAAGTCGTTAGTGCCGCTGCTTACGGCGGCCGGCAAATTAGGTTATCTGAAAATCTTTTAACCTAATCACTAAAGTGATTAGAATTTTATGGGAAACTCAATTTTTTCATTTATTTTCCTTTTTAATTACCATTCAAAACTGATATCAAGAAATTCTCAAACCTCAAAACTTTTAAACCCAAACTTCACCAATCTTCCATAAAACTAAAATTTGCTAAGAAAAATATATCATCTAACAAAACCACAACAAATTGATGATATTAATATATATTCTCCAATCTTACAACCAAATACCATCATCTCTTCTTCTTCTTATTCTTTTCTTGTTTTAGAGAGATAAATTAGAGAGAGAAAGTTTTGGACTTGTTTGCTGGAAGAGAAAGAGAGGAAGAAGAAGACAGTATTTTGGTGAAAAAAATTTTTCTCTCTCTGTAGACTGTTAGGCTTTTCTTTGACTTATTTTTTAAAAGTGCGAAAAATGGACGGAAGGAATACTTAGTATAACGGACTAAAACCGAGGATAGAGTAGTGTATTTAAAAAAAAATACAAAGTTAGAGTAGTTAATTTCGACAAAAACATTGGGTACGATTATAATTTTCCCAAAAAAAATTGTATATAGTCTCTCAAAAACTATCAAGCATTTTCTCTAAATCAAATCAAGAAAACATTCTATTCATCTGTATTATCAACAGATGAACAATTAATAATAAAAACCGCCAAACAACTGCACAATTTCCATATTCCAACAATTTCCATATAAAGATAAAAGAAGGAGAGCTCATCTTCAACAATTGCCCTCTGCTAACTGTAATCAAAAACAAATAACCAAAAAATACTGCTCAACAAATTTTGTTTAAGCATTTTTTATGAAGATTTTGAACAAACTATATAATTCAAACAGTCAGTCGAATACTCAAATACTTACAGTATGGAGCATGACCTCCAGCCAAGTGGCGCATTTTAGAGGGCTGACGCTTCCTTCCACCACGAGGGCCAAAATTCTCACCGGTGACTCGGATTGGTTCTCCGTCGCCACACTTGCCGTCTCCAAAACCGCGGAAATTTTAGTTCTTGACTGTTAACAGTTTTGGCGCGAAAAGGAAATGACAGTTGTATAGGAGCTGGATAACGGCGGTGGTTAAACAGAGGAAAAGGGTGCATGGACGCAGTGAACCGGCGGTTGAAGGAAAACCCGGATTTCAGATTGAGAGGTGTTGTTGTTTCCAGAGACATGGTTAGGTGATATGCTGTCCAAAGTCCAAAGATACCGAATATTGTAGACTGATAACAGAATCTGTAAAATTCGTTACCTGTCACAAAAAAAAAAAAAAAAAAAAAAAAAAAAAAAAAAAAAAAATCGGTACCTGTCACAAAAAAAAAAAAAAAAAAAAAAAAAAAAAAAAAAAAAAAAAAAAAAAAAAAAAAAAAAAATAACGAGCTAAGCCGATTAAAAAATTTAATTAAACAAAATTATTTAATTTCATTTAATTTTTTTTTATACTATCACAATTATCCTCGCTCCCTGTCGGATGCAAAAGGCTTGACCTTTAACTTCGAAATTGCTCTTTACCATTCAGATTTTTAATAAGTTTGAGTTTTTAAAATGATAAAAATAATAATAATATGTATTTTTCAAATATAATATGTGAATGAGTGGAGTTTTGAAATAGAGAACTGAAGGGTGAGGTTTCGATTGTTCACTATTTTTTTAATATTATTGGATTAACTTTCTTATGTTTGGTTTGCAATAAATTGTTGCAATTGGTTGGGTGCCTACATGATGTCAATCAATTTATCCCAAGTGAAATGAATTTCATAGAGTTGAACATGTAATTGTTTGTTAAATTCCAACAACAATAATTTTGAAAATTATAAATGAAATCTATAAAATTATGGAATTTACTTTGCTGTTTATGTATTGCATAGAGGAAAATTTCTCAACGGTAACCCAATTGTATTATTCTCAATCCAAAAAAAGATACCATATTCAAAGCTCAATCTTGGTCAAGAAGTAGAACCTCCAATTCTGCTCTCCATTATTATCTGGATTTGAACCCTTAAATTCACATCCCAATCAAAAAACAGTGGTACTCATAACAGCTTAATCGAAATGCTTTACTCCTAAATTAGATGCCAATCCTAGAATATGGACACACCAAGCATACCATCAAGCTTCTTTCCATAAATTATTCTCTATATTGCTATGAAAAGAAAATTTAAATTATTCTACATTTCCAAAATTGTCTCACCGCAGTACATGTATTTACCATCGAAAGCAACCTTCCAAGCCAAAACAAGATGAGAGAAGCTGGTGCATTACTTCCTGTATGAGAATTCAGCTTCAAACTCCTTTTGAAACTGTTCCTGAGATTCAGTTTTTGCTGCCAATACAACATCATCGAGAAATCCTCTTTGTGGAAATTCTTCAGGCACAAGGCTCCGATACATCTCAAACTGTTCTGCAGCTTCTTTTTTTCTGTCCAACAGACTGTATACTATTCCCTGCCACACATTGGCATAAATTGTTAGTTGAAAAAAAGTTACTTCTAAGTTTAGATATGTTCATTAACTGCATTCACTGCAGTTAAGAGACATGTTCCATGTCAAGTTTCATATGAGTAACAGCAACTGCTACTGCTGTTTACTAATGCAGAAGTAGAAGAGTATGGCACAGGCATCAAACCAAAAAAAAGTGAAAGAACTTAAGACTTAAGGGAGTTCTTGTTATTTTCAATTACTAATAAAGAATCTCTTTTCCTAATTCACCAATGACGTTGGGTTGATGGAGTGCTATATCTTTTGTGTATTCAAAGCCAACCAGACTTTTGACCACCCAAAGTCTTTGCAGACTGGATAACTTTAGTATTACCCATTACAGGGTTAGTAACTAACAATGATAACTACACAATATAAACAAAGGTACCTGGCAAAGATAAGGCCGAAAATCTCGAGGATTCTCATTCACCAGATCCTGGAACCTCTTCAAACCTTCTTCCAATTGCCCCTGGAATATTAGTGCAAAGTAAGAAAAAACATAGAAATGAACTGATATGCTGATAATTTTGAGCAAATATAGACTGCCAGGATTCACCTTCACAACATGCATTTGTGCAATTAGAATTCTAATATTTCTCTCCTCAATGACTCTATTTTCACGACAAGCAACTTCCAAAGCCTTATTCAACATCTCAAAGACAGCTGGACCATCGAGATTTTTGTGCATCACCATAGCGAGACCCTATAAAATTATGAGAAAAAAAAAAAGGAGTCACAATATCAGCTTTAATTCACCATCAAGCAGGAAAAGCCTTAAAAATGAATAAGGTGTTTGCATTAACAGAGAAATCTAATGGTGAATGAACATATTCTAAGATCAGGCTGCAAGTGCATGAACAGAATAACCAAAAAGTTCACATTTCAATATTGGAGCAACTTTAAAATCAGGTAGCCCTGGATCATAAGTCCCAATCTAAGCAAGGAATATTGATGCCAGCCAAAAGAACTACCAAGTATTAGTTAAAAATTGCAGTCCTCCGCCATTAAAATCGAAAATATAAATGAAAACTCACCGTTCGCCTCAAAACTCACATGTATGCCTAATCCTAATGGTAATACACTTACCCCTTTCTGGTAGAACCAAGATAAATCTAAAAGTTATTTCAATTAGGACGGTTTCACTGATGATAAACTCGATAGGACGTTCCCATAGAACTTGAAAAGAGCTTTGAAGTTCAGAATTTATTTTTGTCATAAAGTATGTAGCTTTAAAGAAATGGTTTCATACTTGTCTATGTATTCTGAATGGTCAAACTCTGTTTTGCTCTATGTTAATTTTCCATACAGAAATGCACCTCTTTTATCATGCACATTAAGCACAAGAAATTAACTGAAAACAAGAACTCTAGGTCAAGATAACATACATGCAAAGCTCTAAGCAAAAGAGGCCTCTCCTCCAAAATTTCTTTAAACAATCTTTTAGCCTTACTCAATTCCCCCATCATTTCATAACAAAGTGCCTCCAAAAGCCTCCACTCTATTTCCTCTGGCTCAATCTTAATCAATCTGTCCACATATTTCAAAGCTTCCTTAGTCTTTCTTTTCCTCATCTTCCCATATACAAGCACCTTCAATGCCTCCACATTTCTTGGCTCTTTCACCAAAAGTTCTTCATACATCGCTTCATCTTCACTTTTCCCCATCTGGGAATCTTCCTTTTCCTCCACATTTGGAATCGACTCACTTTCTTGAGCAGGAAGAGCCAAACTGGGTCTAGTATTATAACCAAACGAACCCATGAGAATAAACGCCCCAAAAATGGAAATTAGTACTTTGTCATACAAAAATTTGGCAAGGAATCCATTTGTTTTCGAGAGATTTGAAATGGGTAGGTGATGAATTGGCGATAAAGAGAGCTTCGAGTAGATGTGGAATTTGGGGATTCTGGCTCGGTGCGGAATGACGGATAATGGAAGCTTTAGCGAAATGGAGCCATTTTGGATTGGGATTTTGGGGCTGTGAAAATGTAAGTTAGTATACAAAGAGGATGTTTCGATTGAACGCATTTTCAGCACGAATCGGTTGGTTTGTTTCGAAAAGGAAGAAAATGTAGAAGAAGAAAACAATGAGTTTCTAAATTCAAAACCCCCAATAGGGTTTTAGCGTTTCGGTAAACTGTAATGCTCTTCGCGCGCGCTAGGCGACCGACCTCTAAGAATAATCAAAATTTTAATTGTACGCCGATTACAATGAATAATATACCCTTCTTACATTGGCTACCAAAAGTTCAATTTATCACTCAAAAATACCGAAATTTTAATTTATGTTAAATACTTCATTGGAACAACCATTATAGAGTAGTCCGACAGTAACCAAGACAAAATATTTATATTTCTTAGCGCTTGAGCTTTTGCTAATGCCGGAGAAAAACAACCCTACAATGATGATGCTACAGCTGATACAAATCCGCCATGACAGTTTGAAATTACGGACAAATCCGCCATGACAGTTTGAAATTACGGCACCAAAAGCTCCATGGCCAACAGAGGGGAGGAGAGCTGCATCAAAATTTATTTTAAAGGTGCCAGTAGGTGGCGGGAGCCATTGATTATCCGCAAAAACACCTAGACCTAAATCAGACGACTTTAGCTGGGCTTTCTTCCAAGAGGCTAGCATGCTTCTAGCTCGAGTAATCACATGATAAGGTTCTTCTTCTACTTGGTTCCATTTCAATTCATTACGGCTCAACCAAACACTCCAAAGTCCCATAATAAAACTCTCAAAGAACTCAATCTCCGACACCTTGTGGAAATGTTCTAGCATCTGTAAGAAATTTGGAAAAATTCCAATATTGGCTGAACACCAAAAAACTGCCAATAAAAGCTTGCTCTTGGACACTCAACAAGAGCATGAACTAATGTTTCAGTTTCAGCAGCACCACAGTAATCACATCCTATATCAAGCTCCAATCCCCTTCTTTCCAGAGTTGCTTTGACTGGCAGAATGTCTCTACAACACCTCCAGAGGAAATGCCTCACTTTCATCGGAACTTTCAGTGACCAAAGAGTTGTCCAAAAACCCGACTTCCAAGCTTCTTCAGTTTCCACATAATGAGATGCTATTATTCTGTATCCGGATTTCACGGAATATATCCCCGAGTCTGTCCAATGCCATATAAGGATGTCGTCCTGAACGGTTGTAGCTAAAGGAATAGAGGTAATAGCTTCAGCAATTGAAGGGTTGAAAAGACCATTTATCAGTGGCAAATTCTCAGTGGCAAATTCCAAGCAACGATCCCCTTGTGCCAAAATAAATCTGAAAACCCTTATATGCTCAAAACCAAGGAAGGATAGGCAAGTTAACGCCAACTGATTATCCCTCAGTACCAACTGTTTCAGTCCAGACCATTAAACTGATTGGCCATCTCCATTTCGCCACCGGAAACCTTGAACAAATAGCATCCTTAGCTGCACAAATTCCCTCCATACTTGGATTTCTGCCAGCGCCTGCACCAAGGAAATCCCCACTTGGGAAATATTTAGATTTGAAAGAACTATAAAAGAGAGAATTTGTATTGTGTAAAAGTCTCCAGCAGTGCTTTCCTAGCATGGCTAGATTGAAGCTTCGCAAATGTTTAAAACTCAAACCGCCTTCTTCCTTTGCTACGCACAGCCTTTCCCAACTCAACCATCTCATCTTCCCTCCCCACCAATAAGAATTCATTAACCTCTGTAACTCCTCTAAAATAGATACCGGTATAAGGAAAGCACTCATACAGAAGGAAGGAATAGCTTGAGCCACAGCCTTTATTAGCACCTCTTTACCCGCTTTGGATAAAAGTTTCTGGTTCCAACCACTAACCAACTTCCTCACGACTAACCAACTTCCTCACACGATCCTTCAAGAAAGAAAAAATACGCCTCTTGTCCCGACCAACTAATGAGGGCAGGCCGAGATATCTTCCATGGTTCAGAGGAGCCATCACATCAAAAACCCCTTTAACAGCATCCTTATCCACTTCAGAAGTATTAGAGCTGAAGAAAATACCTAATTTTTGCCAATTAACTACTTGACCTGAGGCTGCTTCATAAGTAATTAGAATATGTTTAATCTCTAGAGCTTGAATCTGTGATGCCTATGCCTCAAAAAAGAACAAACTATCATCTGCAAACAATAAGTGAGATAACCGAGGAGCAGTTCTCTATACTCTACAGCCTTGGATACGACCTTCATTTTCAGACCTACTAAATAGCTTTGACAGGCCTTCAACACAGAGTATAAATAAATAGGGAGATAATGGACAGCCTTGTCTCAACCCCTTTTTGGGATAATTGGGCCAACCTCATCACCATTCACTCCAACCTAGTATTTAATAGAGGAAACACACAACATGATCAACACAACATGATCAAGTCAACCCAGCGCTGACTAAAACCCAATCCCTGCATAACAGCTGTAGATAGCACCAATTTACTTTGTCATAGGCTTTAGAAATATCTACTTTCAGTGCGCAAGCTCCTTGTCGACCTTTCATTCTTGTTTGCATAGAGTGGATTAACTCAAAAGCAACTAACACATCATTTGAAAGCAATCGGCCCGGGACAAAAGCTGACTGAGATAATATCGGTAACCCATCTTCTTTTTTCTTTTCCTCATTTACTCTATTTTGTTAGGTGGGTAGATGCAGACGAGACTATTAATTTTGTACCTTTTTTTTCTTTTTACCTCTACACCCTACTTTCGTCTTCTTCTTCTTCTTTCTCGATCTCTTTGTGTTCTTTTTTTCCCCTCGTTTGTGGCGGATAATTATCTCCCATATGATAAATCCATGATTTTCAATTTGTTGTTGGGTCTATCCACCCATTGAAAATTACATTTAGTAGAATATTCTCAAGCAAAGAGGAGAGGCAGAGCGAAGGGTTCCTGGGAATAGCTACTTTAATGGAAGCTTGGGTAGGATTCAGAAAGTTGGTAGTTCTTACGATAGGCCTTGGGTTTCTATCAAATGATACCACCATTGCTTCTCTCCTCTCAACTATAATTTTTGTTGGCTTCTCTATTGTTTGGAGTTCTGAGGTTTAGTAGTGATTGGGTATCAAGCCATTTTGAATAAGAGAGATTGATTAAACTTATTAGAAGGGCAATAAACGAATTTTTTTTTTCAAAAAAATTCATCTAAAGAAGGAATTTCTATTTATTTCCTAAAAAATGAGGGAAATCAAAGGTGAAATTCATCGCTATTTATTTTGCCTTTGTTGGGTTTTGGGATTTCTAGTAAAAGGTAGGGAAAATGTGAGAATGGAGGTGATAAATAATACAAAAAAAAAAAGTTTCTTTTTTGTACTGTTGAGTTAATGAGATTGTTCTATAGTACTATTAAATGACAAGGCAAAATTTTTTTTTGAAAGAATAGTGCTATTTAGCTCATGGTGATCTTGGATCATGGTATTTCAAATGACAGATATAACCTTAAGTGATTTTGGAGAGATGATGCGGAACCCAAAAGAAAATGAATTCCTAAAACCCTTAATCGAATGGATCGGATCAAAGATCAAGATGAAGTTTGCCTCTATGGCACCCCTCGTTTATAATGAATGGAAACATCAATAATCGAAATTTAAGAACAAGATAATGCCACAACAAGTTGATAAGTCTACCTTAATTCTTGATGCAATTAGAGGAAGCAATATCTCACTTAATTCTTGATGCAATTAGAGGAAGCAATATCTCACTATCACTCTAAGCAAAGGAACATGCAAGGCATGAACAATTTCTGTAATTCAATTTGATCAAAGCTGTTTGTTTACAAAAAAGATGAGAATATTTATACTAAAACCTAAACATAATGGGCTAACTTTATGGAATAGACCCATTAACAAAAGGCCCATGCAAAAATAACAAAGAGGCTTAGGCAACTAAAGCATAAAAGGATAAAAACACGTCCAAGTTTGACCCTAGCACGCCCTGGGCGTGCTACCTAGCACCCCCGTGGTACAAGAGGCAGACTCTAGCACTTCTAGGGTGTGCTACTCAGCACGGGCGTGCCACACCATTAGCACATGCCTCCAACATTGTAAGAAGCCTAGGTGTGCCTTCAAGTTTCACACAACAGTTGTTAAAAGCTCGATCATGAAGCTCTTGTGAAACTTGATCTTGGACATATAAGGACATGGCTGCCCCATATCGCTTGGCACGGCTCCGTGTAATTGGCCCACTAGGAAGCACTAACGGATTTCCTATGTTGTTCTCTATGCTTCCATTGATGAGTGGTAGAAGATCCGTATCATTCCCCCCTTTCCTTAAAAAGATTTTTCCTCAAATCTGCATCCATGTCAAAAGGAGACAAATCACTAACATTAAAAGTAGCGGAAACACCATACTCACCTGGTAAGTCGATCTTGTAGGCGTTGTCATTAACGCGCTTCAAGACTTGAAATGGACCATCTCCACGTGTATCAACCTTAGTCTTCTGTTCGTTGGGAAACCTCTCCTTTCAAAAATGTACCCAAACCCAATCTCCAGGTTTAAACAAGACATGCATCCTTCCCTTGCTCGCTCGGTCTGCATACTATTTATTCCTCCTTTTTATGTCTATATAAGCTTTAGCCTTAGCGTGCATTTCCCTGACTAAGGCGGCCTTCTTCTCACCATCAGAAAACTCCTGCAATAAAGAAACAAAGCTAGAAGGCAGAGAAGAAGTGTCAATGTTAGGCAAATTAAGTAAAAACTCCTTAAACCGAATCATCAAGATCGGCCTACCCTCACTAACATTGCTTCGGGTCACTCTCTTTCTCATATACAAAGTTTATTTCTTTCTCTCCTCTCTCGTGTTTCACTCACCATTGGGCCATTAATTTATTTCTTTTCACTCTTGGCCTCTTTTCCCTCTTTTCAAAACTCTTTTCACACTTTTGTTCTCTCAGACTCGAAACCTCACTCCCATTTTCCCTCAAAGTTGAAGCCTCTTTCTCAGATAACTTCTTTTGATCAGTAGATGCTTCAAATTCCTGCAAAGGATCATCAAACACACTAGGCAAAGATGGGTTAAGATCATTAGTGGCCAAATAAACTCCCTTGCACAAAGGTACAAGTATAGGCTGATTGTTGTACAAAGCATGTTTCACCTCACTTGTCCTAGCTATCAAACTCACATTCTTTTCTTTTTCTTTTCCCTCTTCCTTTTTATGTGCACTCTATGTATTTTCACTCATTTTATT